CTTGGGCATGGGACCTGCCTGGAAAACAGGGAGAAGCCCAGGAGAGCAGCAGGTTTTTTATTCCAGAGCCCAAGGGCCCTTTCACAGACACAGTTACCTTCAGAGAACACAAGAAAAGGCCGTAACACTTCCCCCCACAAAGAGAAGTGTTTCTTTCCACTGACCTCATAAGGGCAGCACCATCAGTCTCAAGCCTGAGCAAGGAGAGAACTTTCCTGGAACTGGTGAGGTTTTGTTCTAATACTCAGTTTCACTCCTTCAACTCCCAGCGTGAGGATCTCTCTTCTCTCCCTCCTTCCCATGCCCTGCCTCCCTCAGCAAGGGCACAGATCCTCCTTGGCAAGCACTGCCTGCAGCCTTGCTCATTTGCAAGGCTAAGCCTAAGCAATCTCCCACCCTGGGATGGAGTTTAGGGATGCATATCCAGTGCCAGCACTAAATGCAGCCTTGCCAGCAACACTCCCTTTCCAGAGCACTGCAGCCACAGAGACAGTCCCACCCTGAAGAGCCTGCCAGCTCTTCACCACAAAATCCACCCAAATCCATCCCTTACCTTAATGATGTTGGCACAGAACCTCTCTATGATGGTCAGCTCGCCCTCTCTGATCCACGACATTTTTTATTGAGAGCTCCTTTCCTTTTTCAAAGGGAAGATGAAAATGAAAGGGTTAAAGGTGATTGTTTGTTGTTTGAGCCCAAAGCAAACAAACCACCTGGGAAAAATCAGCTCTGACTTGCTGCTCTGGAGCCCTTTACATTGTCTGTGCGAGTCCTCTGATAAGCAGGCTCAGAAACAGGCTCTGGAATTTTCCCGCTGTGTCATCAGAGTGGATTCTGCAACAGCCAGTGCAAGGAAAACCATCCCCGAGTCCCGCAGGCTGCAGGACTGGTTCGTACAGACCCACCCCAGCAGTAACAGCCCAGACCCGACCGCCTGGACTTCATCGGCAGCAGCAGATCGAGTTACCCTCGGGAGCTCATTCTCCGCGTGGGCTTTCTCAGCCTCCTCCCTCAGGAGAAGGGATCCCTCCCCACACCCACAAACACCACAGCAAGGACCTGCCGAACCTCGGGCTGCTCCTGAAGCTCTTCCCGCCCGCCTTGCCCGGCTCGGGCTGCACCACCGCCGGCTGCTAATGGCCAGCTGATGGCCAGCAGCCCTTCAGCGCGGTTAGACCGGCGCTGCCACAGAGCGCCCGGGGCAGCGCGGCCGGGCCGGGAGCCGCGGCCCCCGGGACCCCGTCCCGCCTCTGGCAGCGAGCAGAGCGGGCTGAGAGCGGGCCGCATAGCCGGGCCGTGCGGGTGCCGCCGCTCCCGGCAGCCGCCCGGGCCCTCCCAGGCGGGACGCGCACGGTGGGGACGGGGCGTTCCTTAGGCCTCCGCCGGCTCCGTGAGGGGAGAGACGCGGCGGAAGGAGACACAGCCCGCCCGCAAGGCCCCCGCCGTGCCGGGTAACCCCGGCTGGCCCCGGTAAGCCCCGGTAAACCCCGATAAGCCCCGGTAAGCCCGGCTCTCCCGGTCCCTCCCGGTGCCGGTGCCGGTACCTGCCCCGGTCCCGGCGCCGCCTCAGCCTCCGCCGGAGGGTGACGTGAACTTCCGCTTACGTCACGCGGGGCGGGGCCGCGCGTGCGCGGGGGTGCGCGGGCCGCCCTGAGGGGAGGGAAGATGGCGGCGGGGAGCTGTGAGGGGAGCGGGAGGTAATCACAGAATAATCACAGAATAATCGCAGAATAATCACAGAATAATCACAGAATAATCGCAGAATAATCGCAGAATAACGAGGTTGGAAGACTCCTTTAAGATCATCAAGTCCAACCTATGCTCTAACACCTCAACCAGACCATAGCACCAAGTGCCGTGTCCAGTCTTTTTATAAACACATCCAGAGATGGTGATTCCACCACCTCCCTGGGAAGACAGTTCCAGCACTTTATTATTCTTTCGGTGAATTTTTTTTTCCTAATATCCATCCCATACCTTCCCTGACGTAGCTTGAGGCTGTGTCCTCTTGTTCTGTCAGTGCTGCCCAGTGGAAGAGAACGACCCCCAGATGTGCACAACCTCCCTTCAGGGAGTTGTAAAGAGCAATAAGGTCACCCCTGAGCCTCCTCTTCTCCAGGCTGAACAATTCCTTCAAACATTCCCTCAGGAGACAGGACACGGGGAGATTGGCAGGAAATTCTCCTTTTGTGAGGGCGAGGAGGCACAGGGTGCCCAGAGCAGCTCCTGGATCCCTGGAAATGTCCCAGGACATGGGATAGGAAAGATGTCCCTGCCATAGCAGGGGTGGGATTATTGGATGGGCTTTAATATCCCTTCCACCCAAAGCGGTCTGTGGCTGCTGCAGGAGAGGTGGGCTGCAGTTCCAGTACCACCCCTGCCCCCATTTGGGATCTGGGTCCTCAACCCCAGGGGAGAAAAACACAAATAACTACACACAGAACATCACCAGCAGCCATTGCTCATGGTCTTTATTAAATTTTTTTTTTCCAGAAAAGAAAAAAAAACCAACCCCGCATTTTACATAGCTGGTACAAAAACACAAATAAAATGAGCAGAAGGGGGGAAACCTGCAGCAGCAGGAGCTGAGGATGTCGCTGCAGGGACTCCATCAGGAAATGTCTTTGGGAAGTGTGAGTAGCTACTCAGGGGTCACCCTGAGCCCCACGCACACACCGCCACCCCATATCCCCTCCCTCCCGCCCCACAAAACTTCACGGGTTTGACACGAACGCTTTGGTTGCTAGCAGTAAACATGGATTACATTCTTCCGTCTCCTCGTGGACATTTCTGGGACTCGAGGCTTTCGCCCCAGGGCAGACACCCCCTTGTGAGGGACATCTTTGTTTTATTTCTCATACATTCAAACACTGCCGTGTCACAGCAGGACCCTGAGCAGCGTGCCCCATCCTCCCTGCCTGTCCCCTCATGCATAGTGCCCGTGGGCAGGGTGGGCCATGATGCAGCAATTTAGTTAATTGTTGTCAGCAGAAGGGAAGAACCACAATGGCCAAGCAAGGAGATGCCAATCAATCCCATCTCCTCCAGTGTGGCTTCCCAGCACAGATAAAAATCCCTGTTTTCTTAGATCCCAGCACCCCGGGGGAAACCTGAGTGATTCCCTATTAGCTTCAGCCCAGGGCAGGGATGGTTACAGAGCTCCCACCTGGCAGCTCTGTGTGGGAGAGCAGATCCATCTCCCTGCTCCAAAACCTAGTAGATGCTTTGGATATTTTAATATTTTTTTTCCATTTTTTCTTTTTTTTTTTTCCCTCTTATTTTTGTAAACAATAATCAAGGAGAATACTGAGAGAATAGAAAGGTTTACAGAGGTATTTACACACACTAGACATCTGACAGAGAAATCACCAAACCATTAAAGTGGGAGCAGGGGGGGAAGGTCCTACATGATTCTTGAGGATAGACAGGGATGAGGGGGGCAGAGACAGGATTTGGGGGCAGATACAGGGATTGGGGGGGGGCAGATACAGGAATTGGGGGGGCAGACACAGGGATTGGGGGCAGATACAGGAATTAGGGGGCAGATACAGGGATGAGGGGGCAGATACAAGGATTAGGGGGCAGATAGAGGGACTGGGGGCAGATGCAGGGGTAAGGGGGGCAGACACAGGGATTGGGGGCAGATACAGGGGTGAGGGGGCAGACACAGGAGCTGGGGGGGCAGATATAGGGGTGAAGGGGGCAGCAGTTTCCCTGGCACAGCCGAGGTGCCGAGGGGAGGCCAAGAGCCACCCCCAAGGCTCTATTGCATTTACCCCGTCAGACTAAAGCTGTTTTCCTGAAGCAGTTTTGTACAGATCCCGTTGCTAGTAAAAAAAAATCAAATTCCTTCCCCCCTCTCCCAAGAAGAGACCACCACCTCACCCTAAACTACTGGAGCAGGGCAGGGAGCAACTGGGGGTCACTCTCCATCCCTCAGTGCCCACGTGCCGGGGGTCACCAGCAGCCTCAGCGAGTGCCCCCAGAGTGCCCCATCCCTGGGGATGGGGTCGGTGCTCCTGTCTGATCCAGCCCTGCCCCACAACTAAACCTACTGCTACTAAAATCCAGCAGAGAACGCGCCCACAGCCGGCCAGATGCCCTCCCTGGGAAGGCTCCAGCCACCCCCTGGGCTGCAAGAGGAGTGTTCATACCCCAAAAGCTGGGATCCAGAGTTTCTCCTAGCCGTGGTGAGGCAGCATTTGAGGGAAGCCAGGAAGGAGAAAAGGATGGAGCAGTTGCACCTCCCTCGGACTTGGAGCCGGGTCCCCTGTCCCGGGAGGCCATGGACAGCCAGCCCTGAGCTCGAGGGTGAGGAAGGGCAGGACTGAGGGTAACCCTGTCTCCCAACACTCCCTGGCCACCGTCTGCTCCATCTCTGTCCCCCTGCATGGGGCTGGGACCCCCATCCTGACCCCCAGCCTGCTGGGAGCCTGTATGACATCCCAGCCCACGGGCAGCAGGACTCAGGCACGGGGTGCACTGGAGTGCTCCCATCAGCTGGGGAGTAAACAGGAGAGAGAAACAGGACAAAAGCCAGCAGGCTGGGAGGAATCCAGGAGCTGGGAGCTGGCACGGGCTCTGCGCCTGTTCCCTGCCCATGGCACTGCCTGGCTTCTCCCTCCCCACACACGGACCCACAGACCTGAATGCCTCCATCAGTGCATGGGGAAGGGAAAGAGACCATTACAATACAGTTACAAAGAAAACAAATCCCAAACATACCAAAAAACACATTTGGAAAGCTAGACAACACGTCAGCCCACCTAGCAAACATCCAGTGAGGTAGATCTACACTTCTGATACAAACTTCATAATTTCTTTGTGCTGTTAGCAAAACCCTCCTCTCTGTCCAGCACTGGGCTACAGAGGCATTTTATCCCTGAGATTGCTCGAATACCTGAGAATAAGTTGCAGGAATTATGTCCTTTCTCTCCTTTTTTTTTTTTTTTTTGTTTTTTTTTTCCTTTTCTTTTCTTAAAGATTAAAATATACAAAAATACAAAACCAGAATATTTATATTAAAAAAAAAAAAAAACAAACCCAAAACAAAGACAACAAACAAACCCAAAGATACGTCATTCACGCACGTCCTAGTGCAGCTTTCACTCGGCCTTGGCTTCGGCACGGCCGGGGGGCTCCCCGGGAAAAGGGGGGGTCCACCGGGGCCAATAAATAAAGGCAAGACTTGGGAAGGGCCGTGGGGAGGGGGGACAGCCCCGTCCCCTGTCCCTGGGGAGGCTCAGCCCCAGAGGCAGCGTGGGATGGGCAGGAGGAGCAGAGGTGTGTCCCCAGCACGGGTGTGTCCCCAGCACGGGTGTGTCCCCAGCTCCACCTTCCCGAGGCTGGGAGAAGCCTGAGAGGAGAAGAGCTGGCTGCAGAAAACACCTCGTGCTCTCTCTGGGCTGGCACTTGGGGAGGATTAGGGGAAAAAAAAGCGGTTTTCCTTTGAATTGCTCTCCCCCAGGCTGCAGCTCGCAGCCCACGGACAGGTGGTGTTACTCCAGCCCTGGGAGAGGATCCATTTCCTGCCAGACCGAGCCCAAATCCGGGCTCTGCTGCTGTCAGCAATGGAGGAGCTGTGGAAAAACCATGAATCCTCACACCTCCCTGAAGGTGAGAGGCCAGGAGGAGCAGAGGGAGCTGCGGGACCGGCCCGCGGGTGTCTCCCTTTCCCTCAGCCCCCCTCCCGGGCAGGCAGAGGGGTCCCCCCAGCTCACCCCGCCGTGCTGAGCCTGTTTGAAGCTCGGAAGAATGAGGAGCTGCCAGCTCCTCCCTGGCATGATGCCCCTCTGCTCCTCCTCCCCGAGACACGACTGCCTGCCTTAACTTAGGAAAAGATTAAAGATGAATTAAGTGTGTTCAGGATTTTTACGGGAAGAAGTGTGTTGGGTGCTGCCTTCCCCTGTTTTGGAACAAGCCATCCTGATGCTAACGGGGCTTTTCCCAGCCTGGGCGTGGGGGAAAGGTCTGTGCAGGGACACCAGGTCCCCGCTGCCAGCACTGCCACCGGCCCTCCCCAGGCTCCCCTTGCCTTGCCAAAGCCTTCTCATCCCGGTGGAAGCCCCCTGTGCTGCCACCCACCATCATTCCCGGGTCTCGGGGAGGAGGGCCGAGCTGTGCATGTCCTCCTCCTCTCGGAAGTAGGCGGGCTTGCCCTGCGAGCTGGGCGACTGCTGTGCTTTGGCGGGGCAGTTGGCGACCATGTGGCTGATGCTCTGGCAGAAGTGGCACTTCTTGGGCTGCGGCGGGAGCTTGCACTCCTTGGCGTGGTGGTCCAGCCCGCCGCAGTTGTAGCACCTGGTGAGGGGAGGAGAAACGAAATGAGGCAGGAGGATGCTGTGAACACCGCCCATCTGCTTCTCAGCCAGAGCTGGGCTTGGCTTTTGGGGTGGGTGGTGGCCCCAGGGTTGGTCCCTGCAGAGCCCAGCTGGGGCTCCGTGGTGCTGCTGGTACCCAGGAGATGGCAGCAAACCGCTGCACTGAAGCCACACACCGGGGACAACTTCGGGATGTGGGGGGTTCCACCCCTCTGGCTCCATCAGTGTCCATCCGGTGTCTCCAGACCCCACTGCCCCAGGAACAGGCAAAGGAACAACTGACATCGCCAGCTGTCATCGTGTGGGGACAACCCCAAGGGTGGCTCCTCACAGGGCTTGTCCCATGGGTGCCACCCTCACACCGGGGCCTTGTGTCCATTTTAAATCCTGCATCCATACAGGATGGCCACAACCCTTTTCTCTTTCATTTTCCTTCACAATTCCTCTCTGATTAATTTAGAAACCTGCTTATGAGAAGAGCTGAGTGGGGTGGACAGCATCCACTGGGAAAACTGGGATGAGGCATCCCCAGGCAGCTGGGGTGGAGAGGATGGGAGAGGGGGCATGAAGAGCTGGTCAGAAACTTGCCCTGGGGTTCCCATCTCGCTGTGGGAAGCACTGTCAGGACGTGGGAGACACTGTCAGGACGTGGGGGACACTGTCAGGACACGGGAGACACTGTCAGGACGTGGGGCTGTTTCCTTCCCACAAGGAAGGGTTTCTCTTGGAGCAAACCCCCAGCCCAGCAGGGCTCCCCGGGCGAGGGGGGCACTGCCCAGGGTGCCCCTGACCTCTGCCCCTCCCTGCTGCTCCCCTGCCCCTTCCCCACCGAGCTGCATCTGCCGCTCATTAGGCACCACAGGACACTCCTTTCCCGGACCAAGGGTCACTGCCCGTCCCACCGGCCCCGTGCCCATCCCCGGGGTGCCCAGGCAGCTCCCGGTGCCCGCAGGGCTCAGCCCCAGCCCTGGCTCAGCCCTCACCGATCTCCTTTCGACCTGCGCTTCTGGAGGCTCTTCCCTTTGGGCCTCCTGTCGCTGCCGATGCAGAAGACGCCCCCGGGGCCGGTCACCCGGATGGACTCCAGACCTTTGGATGATTTCTTGAAGGTGAACTCGACAGCTTCGCCCTCCTTCAGGCTGCGGAAACCCTCCATGTGGAGCTTGCTCTGGGGGGCACAGGGAGAGGATGGGGGTCAGCACAGAGCTGGGGTGTTCTCCAGGCACGGCGCAAAGCTCCTGCAAGATGTCCCCCTCTGCCTGTCCCTGGGTTCTGCTTTTCTTTAAATACAAAAGAATCTCGAGGCTTTGCACAAAGATACAAACCCTGCTCCTGGCAGGCCCTGTGGCAAGGCCAGGAGGTGAGGCTGGCACTGCCGGCCCCCTCAGCCCAGCTCAAGCCCCTCGACTGCCTACAATAATTAATTAAGCAGCCATTTGGCACAGGATTATCGCTGCTGGGAGCTTCTCCCATTCCTTCCAGGAATACCACCTCAGATATCACCACACAGTCAAACCAGGGGAGCCCAGAAAAACCCAGGCTGGGGAGGGGGGGTGTGAGGTAACAGGAAAACCCCACTCGGCTTTGAGAAGTCCATTTTAGCAGAACAAATCCCTAAGGACGGCAATTCTCAGCGCCCTGTGCCGGGAGCATCCCTGCCGGGAGCATCCCTGCCTGCTCTGCCCCCGGGCAGCAGCTCCAGCTCGGAACCCGCAGCTCTGCGAGGGGGCACGAAGCGAGAGAAGGGGATGCGCTGGTTGGGGAGGAGGAGCAGCGGGAGAAGGGGATGCGCTGGTTGGGGAGGAGGAGCAGCGGGAGAAGGGGATGGGGATGCGCTGGTTGGGGAGGAGAAGCGGGAGAAGGGGATGCGCTGTTGGGGAGGAGCAGAGAGAGAAGGGGATGCGCTGTTGGGGAGGAGCAGCAGGAGAAGGGGATGTGCTGGTTGGGGAGGAGCAGCTCCTGCCGCGGGGGATTCCCAACGCCTGCGCGGCTGCGGCACGACCCTGCATTTGTGAATGGAGCATCTCCCCCATTCATGGCCCGAGAGCTCCCGTCACAGGCTCTGCCGTTCTCCCCGCTCCCGTGAGCGCTGTCCGGGACGGGCAAGCACGCTCTGCTGCCAGCCCCTCTCCAAATCTCACCAGCAGTCCCGAGGAAACACCCCACGTAAAAGCAGAGCGGCCTATAGGAGTGAATTTTTTTTGCAGGATGTCCACGTGGCCGTGGGCATCAGAGAAGTGGGAATGCAGCAGAGCTCGAGGAACAACCCTTGAGCCCCTTTTTCTGCTGCTTTCCCCCTCCCTTTCTGTGCCTGGGGGTCCAGCTCAGGGTGGGACAGACCCCATGTGCTGGGCCAAGTCACCCCCAGGCCCTGGATCCCCTTGGCTGCTGGGATGGGATCCAGAGTGGCCACAGGGACCCTCCCTTGCTCTCTGACCTGCTCCTGCTGCCTAAAGGGAGAGCCAAACCCTGAGCTCTGAGGTCCCAAATGACAACAAGGACATGACAGAGTGTCACGGCCACCAGTGCCCACTCAGGGCAGTTCCAGCACCACCTGCCCCTGGCAAAGCCCCACGGTGACCCATCACTGCTCCCCACCACCAACCCAGCTGCCCTGTGCAGGAGCTCCGTGCCCAAGGCACCAGCACATCCCAGAGCTGCCTCAGCACCTCGGCTCGGCCACCCACCCCAGGGTGATGTGGGCAATGGGAGCTACCCCGGATTTACCCCAATTTATGCCATTCCCACAGCAGCCGAGGGTTTTGGGGTGAGGAGGGGCTGAGCATCACTCCCTGGCACGGGAGGCAGCTCTGGGAGCCGCGGGACGAGGCCAAGCACCTCCAAGCACCTCCCGTGGCTCTCTCAGGGCGTTTACGGCCCCAGCTGGCCCAGCTGTGTTTACACTGCGGGGATGAAAACTCCCAGGCGCTCAGCCCTGATCTTCGGGATAAAGCTGAGCCGTGCCAGGGGGGACCCCAGTGCCCGGGCTGGGCCCCCCGGCTCAGCCCCACCTTGGGCACCGCCGCCCCAGGGCCAGAATCCAGCCCCTGCACCCGGCACCCCCACCCGGAGGAAGAGGAGGGATGGGGCAGAAGCTGCCACAACATGACGGGGAAGCGATTTATTTTTCCAGGAGCGGGCGAGGATGACAAGCACCCCCAGCCCCCTCCGCCAAAAGGCCAAAGGAAACGCCTTCTCCCCAGGGAAGGGGGGGGACAGAGGCTGGGGCGTCCCAGCTCTGCCCTCCCGCCCCCCCGCCGCAGCCTTTTGATGTGGCTGCAGAGTGGCCGGTGGTCCCTGCGCATCCCCCCTGCCCCCTTCCCAAAACACACACATTGCTGGCATTCCTCTGTTATCAGATAGGTAATCAAACTGCAGCCCATTGAATTAGCTGCATACCTCCTGCATCTGAAAGGAAGGGGCCCAGAGCCCCTGTCCCACACCACACACAAAGCCGGAGCCTTCCCAGGCCTCCACACACCCACACCCCCCCCCAAAAAATAAAGAGAGGAAGGGGGGGATTGGAGCGAGCCGGGGATGCTGGGGATGGGGGAGCGCAGGGGAGGGCCAGGGCCGGGAGCCACCGGCCAGCGAGAACAAAGGGCCGGCGGCGGCCGCGCTCCCGCTGCCCAAATTCCAGGAGTTCCAGGCCCCGGCGGGGGGAGGAAGGGTGGCCGCGGGCCCCCTGACCCCCTCCAGCCCCTGCACACATCGGCGGTGCCCGTGGGCGCTGGGCTCTGGGTACCCGGGGGGGATGGCTTCGCTGTGGCCCTGGGTTGTCACAAAAGAAGGGCAGCCCAACGCCAGGATGTCCTTGTGGTCACCAGGGACAGGGAACAGAGGCAGAGCTGGCGCAGCTTCACCCCCGGCACCGCAGCGGGCACCTCTCCGCTTCTCCCCATCCCTTTCCCTCGCTCCCTCCCGCATCCCCGGTTATTTGCGCATCCCCGGTTATTTGCGCATCCCCGGTTATTTGTGCATCCCCGGTTATTTGTGCATCCCCGGTTGTTTGCGGCAGACAAAGCCGCAGCACGTGAGCGGCCAGCGCTGCCCACCCCGGGCTGCCTTCATCCCTCCTCTTCCTCCCACAGAAATCCCTCATCGCGGGTGCCACGGGCAGACGCGTTTCCCGTCCTGAAGGGATGACACCGCGGGGCTCCCCAAACCCCACCGCTGCCCCCCGAGCTGCCGGGCTCCGGCTCTCCCCACCCCGCCCCGCCGGGCCCTGGGGTCACCATTGTCCCCGCGGCCTCCCCAGCGCGACACAAGGGGACGTTTATTCCCAGGCAGCCGCGGCCACTCAATCAAACCATCTTTGTGTCCAGCGGGGCCTGGGGCGGAGCGGCCGCTGCACCTCGGCTCTGCAGAGCCCTTCAAACTGAGATCCCGAGCCGGGCTGGGATGCTGGGCTAAGGAGGAACACTGCTGGCAGTGCCAAGCTGTGCCAGGGCTACATCTGAGCCCTGCCCAGAGCATTTCAGGCAGCCTAGCCCCACTGCGGGCAGTGCCTGTGCCTCAGTTTCCCCCACTCTGCAGAGGAGGGTCAGGAAAGCAGTGCAGGGACTGCTGAGCCCCGGGGTGGGGCATGCCCCCATCACTGGGGTACCCTGTCCGCGGTCACCTCTGGCTCAGCTGGCACCCAGGGCAGTGCCCCAGGCACGGTGCAGCCCCACCCTCCTCTGCAGCCCTCTGTGCCCAGAGCCACAGCGTCCCTGTCCCGCTGCTCCCTCGTCCCTGTCCCTCTGCTCCCTCGTCCTGCCGGTCCCGCAGCTCTCCCCTCAGCTGGGCACTGCCCCATGGCAATCTCCCCAGAGGAGATTCCGGCGGGACTGGGCTGGAGGAGCGACCCAAATCCCCAGTCCCAGCAGGGAAATGCCCCTTTGCCTTCACAGCCCTGCCCGGATCGGTCCCCGTCCCCAAAGGCAAAGCCCTTCCCTGTCCCCAGATCTTCTCCCGGTGCCAGAAGCTCCAGGGAAGGTGCTGGTGCTCGGTTTTGGCTCAGGAGGGGAGGACTTGGAGCAGGAATGTCCCTTCCCGCAGCCCGCAGAAACGGGGGATGTGCTTGGCACAGGGGGTCCTGCCTCAGCCCGGGGCGCTGGTGCGGAGATAAGGAGGGCGATGCCTTTGGAGCCCTCGCGGAGAGCACAGAGGATTTAACAAAACATCACCAAGGCTTTCCTCTGACTCCCTCACCATCCCTAAGGACCCCTACCGATTTCAACTAAAATCAAAATAAAGACATTCCCCTGCCAAAGTAACGATGTTTGCTCCTAATTTCCCACCACAAGTCAGTAAAATTAAACTCTAGATACCAACTCCGAGGGGTAAAAAAGAAAAAAAAGGCATCTACCACAGAGTTTAATCCATCAGTTTCCTGTCCTAAATCCTTTTAGCTCCTTTGGTTGTATTTTTTTCCCCCACCAAAACCCTCCTGCACTTCCCAGGGGCAGCTAATTGGGATCAGTGGCTGTGTATTAATTTTTGTGCTCCCGTCCTAAAGCAGGAACGGGGCCCGGAGCAGCCGCGCGTTTTCCGAGGATGGTTTTGGCTCCATCCCGCTTTTCTTGGGAGTAAGGGAACAGCAAAAGGAAACGCCGGGGCTGGAGGTGGGGGCGGCAGGGCCAGGGCTCCATCCCGGCAGCAATCCCATTCATTTGGGCCATATTATCTAGGAGACCATTCCAGGGTGTTTTCTCTCCCTGGGGCAGGGAGGGGGAGCTGGGGGAAGGGATGTGCCTGCGGCCATCAGTTAATCTTTAGACAGAGACAGGAGGCTTTTTTTGTGTGTGTGAGCGTCTTGAGGGAGTTTCAGGGGTGGAATAAAGCCACTCTCTTTCAGTATTTCCCATAGGGACGCGGCGCACAAGCGGCCCAATACAATTTCATTCTAGCGGTTATTTAAAAAAAAAAAAAAAACACAGAATAAACAAAACCAAAGAAATTGCTGCTACCCCTCTCCCCTCACAAAAAAAGCAGAGATTCCAACGAGCATTTCTACCCCAGGGCATCTCTGCGGGAGTTCCCTGCTCCTTGCAGGGGGGTTGGACTAAATGACCTTTAAAGGTCCCTTCCAACCCAAACTAATCCGTGATTCCACGATCTCTCCCCCAGGGATGTGCAGCGCTGCGGGTGACCCTGGCGCTGCGGAGCCAGCACGGGAAGCAGGAAAAGCGAGATCCGACACACGCGTGTCCCTCGAGGATGGAGCATCACGGATTCCCCTTCCCCCCGCTGCCCCCCAGCTCTGCACAGCCCAAAGCCCCGCTCGGATCTCGGATCCTGCCCCGCAGCCCAGCCCAGGGGAAGGCAGCAGGGAGAGGTTGGCTCCTGCTCCCTGCCGGAGAAACTCTCCCTTCTGCCTTTCCCGCACACTCAGCGTTGGAGCTGCCTCCAAACACGATTTTTATTTTTTAAGACCTCACGTCACGCTGACGTGGATGATTATTTGTATTATTGCGGCCGCATGCGCGGGGTGGCAGAGGCACAGGTGGGTGACAGCACGGGTGGGCTCAGCCAAACCCGTGTCCAAAATTCCACCCCCCTCACCCCATCCCCTCCTGGGGCTGGAGCTGCTCCGCCAGCCCGAACCCACGCGGGACCAGCGGGGACAGAAGCCTCTCCCGTGCCCAGCGAGTCCCACACTGCCCAGGGAGTGCCACATCCCAGCCCCAGCGGCTCTAACCACGGGCACAGCTTTGTGTCCCTGCCAGGACACGCAAACGCCAGAGACCAAACACAGCAGCCACGGGTACCCACGGTGCCCGGCAGAATTTCTAAAATCATCAGAAGGAACAAAACCACCCAACTAAATGCATTTAGCAAGGATTTAAACCTGCTGGCTTGGAGAAATGCTTGGAAATACAGAGCAACGATTTCCAGGCACTGGACATCCTCTTCCCCTCTGCCCCCAGCCAGACCCCAACCCAAATCCCAAAATCCCAGCCCAGCTGGTGAGCACTGCTCCTCCAGCTCCAACCAGAGCTGATTTTCTTTCTTTCCATGTTGCCTTCCCAGGCAGCTCCGCACTCCTGCGAGTGATGCTCAGATCCTGGGAGCCGCATCCCGAGGGGACCACTGCACCTTTGGGGTCTTCACCATCACCACCAGCCCAATCTCTGCCACCTGAAGATCCCCAGCTCCTCAGGGGTGCTGCTCAGCCCTTCACCTCCCCGGGACGATCTGCTCTGCTCCCCTCTGCCTCATCCCTCCTGTCTCCTCACAGCCCCCAAATGAATCCATCTCCAGTGTCCAGGGGAGGCATTTGAACCCAAATGCCTCATTTTTAGCTCACAATGCGAGGGAAAGGCAGCCCCAAGGAGCCCTGTTAGTCTCCTGTCCTGCCGAGATTTTAATCTCTTTGTGATCAGATAAAGGCAGAGGGAGATGGAGACGCGCTCCCTGCAGAGAGGGGCCATTCAGACCTGGTTCCTGTAATAAAGTGATTTAATAGATCTAAAGAGGCCAATTCCCTTCTTTCTCCTACAATTACTTCCTGTGGGTCATCATTCACATATGTAAATGAAGAGGGGAAGGAGCGGGTTTTGAGGGGCTCTGGAGTGTTAAGCCCCAAAGCTGGTTTGGGGCGCTGGGCAGGGCACACGGAGCCCTGAGCCTCGTCCCCCCTGGCTTTTGGTGGCTTTTGCCCTGGCAGCCCTGACTCCCTCCCCGGGAGCGGAGCGGGCTCTGGAGAAGCGCCCTGGTGCTCGGCGTGGGGACAGCACCGGGACAGGGACCCGAGTCCCTGCAAAGCCACCCAAAAGCAGCGAGGCCGCGGTGGCAGCATGAGCTGTTCCCTCTGCAAGGAGATGCTCTGCAGAGGGAGAGACACCGGGAGCAGCTCCGGCTGTTCCTGCGGGAGAGCAGAGACTTTGTGCCACCAGTGAGAGGAGCAGGAGGTGAAACCCGAGTCGGAGGAGAAGAATTCTCCAGCAGCCCAAAGCTTCTGGTGGGGCAAAGCCCTTTGCTGCGGCAGGGGAGCCTCCCGCACCCCGGGCCCCTCTGCTGCCCAGAAGGAGACGCTTTTCCCAAGAGTTCCCGCACGCTGCAATCTCTGGGATCTCCCCAGACCTTAGAAACCGGGGGGCACCGAGAGGCTGCAGCGCATCGGGATGCTCCCGACAGAGACACCCCAGCTAATTCCCTTCCCCTGCAGGAATGTGAGCGGGAGCAATCAGGAAACCAGACTGTCTGGGGGCAATAAAGCCCCAGGAGCAGGGCGGGAGGCTCTCCCCGGGAGCGCTGGGTCCCGCTGGGCCGCATTGAGATGCAAAGGCCCATTTGCTCTCTGGAGAACACCAGGATCTGTTTTCCCCTGGCTGATTTGGAGCCCTTGACTCCAAAACCAGCTGTGCCTGGGATAGCAGCTCCTACCAAGGTGCTTTGCCCATGCCACAGCCAAGGGAGAAGGGATTGGCATCTCCCCTGGCCATCATTTCCTTGCCAGTCCTGCCTGGAGGCCTCGCTGGGGGCAGGGAGTGAGCGACCCCCGGGAGCTCCAGGATCTCTGGCAGCCCAGGGGCTCGGTCCTGCACCCCCTGCCCAGAGGATGGACCCAGTTTTGGGGGCTTTGGGCCCCTGAAGAGCAGCGGCCACTGCAGGCGGCTGGTCCCGGGACTCCCCGGAGCCAGCACCGATCACGCACACAAACCCCCCGTGTTTGCTCCAAAAACACCCGTGCCCCCTTGGTTCTTGCTCGCTCTGCCCCCCAGCCCCACGGCAGCCCCGAGGTGAGGGGCACCACACAGAGCCCCGTCCACACGAGCCCCACATCCCCTCCCAGCGCCGGCCCCGTTTTTGGGCACCGTCTCCAAACCCCTTCCCCCAACCCCCGGCGGATCTCCCGGCAGATCCTCCCCCGAGATCCGGGCCGTTCGAGGAACTTCAGCCCCTAATCCACGACTTCCCTGGGTGCGGGGTTCCCGACACGCGTGGGGCTTCCCCGCTCGGCAAGGTCAGATCCGGACACGGGACTGTCACTGTCCCAGATCCGCAGGGACACAAACCCTTTGTGCCACCCGCGACTGGGACAAAGGGCGCGGGCAGAGGTGCCCGGGGCCGGGATGAGCTCCAGCGGGAGAGCTCCGAGCGCCGCATCCCGGCAGCGGGGACCGGGGTAACGCCGCCCGTTCCCCGGGTCCCCTCTCCGGTGCATCCCCCCGGCCCCGCGGGGCTCCTCAGCCAACAACGACGGCAAAATGAAATCGCTCGGCATCGCCTTACGGGGCCGGTCCCCGGAGAGGAGCCCGGTTGCGGCGGTAGGGGGGGTCCCCATCCCACCTCCATCCTCCGGAGCGTGCAGCCCTGTCCTCCCCAGCGCCCCCGGCTCGGGCCGTACCTGGTGCACGAAGACATCCACGGGGGAGTCCAGGGTCGCGCCGCCCTTGGCGGTCATGGAGAGGAAGCCGAAGCCCATGCGGACGTTGAACCACTTACAGATGCCGGAGCCGTGCAGGGGTTGCGACTCGTTGTCGGCCTTGGGCGAGTCTCCGGCCGGTTCTTCACCCGGCTTCGCACCTGGCGAGAGACCCACGGAGCCGCTGAGCCACGGGCTGGGACAGCCGCGGGTGCCCCCATCCCATCCGCCCCGCACCCAGCCGGGCAGAAACCTCCAACCCTGCTCGGGGTGCCCCGTGCAGGCTGGAAAATGTAAAAAAAAAAATCCCTAACCGCCCAAAAAAAAAAAAAAAAAAAAATCAGAGAGGTGAGCTCTGCCTCCACGTGTGGGATCACCCCAGGAAACGAAGGCGGCTGCTGCCAGCACCACCCAGGCAGTGCGTGCAGTGGGAGCTCTAAATCCGTTTCTCCCTCAAAAACGTTAAAAACGGGAAAAAAAAAAAATTAACAATCCCAGACACACACAAAAAGACCAGTCGAGCAACGAAAAAATAGCCAAAATATTGTTTCTAAAATCAAAATATTAAAACAGAACTTTTAAAAAGGGCGAAAAACTCCCCCAAAATCCCAACCCGAAACCCCCCTGCCCCCAGCAAGCCATGCTGGAGAAACTCTCCCTTGCCGTCAGCATCCCCCCCTTGCACCGTCCCACCCCCGCTCCCAAACACCCCCGGCAGCCGCCACCGGCCCCAAACTTCTGGGGTCATCCTGGGGCTGGAGGGGGGATAAAAACCCCCCAATAAATCCCCCCTGCGACCCCCAGCGCTGCGCGGGGCAGAGGGGCCCGGCGGGCCCGGCCGCGCTGCCGGGGCTCAGCGGGACTGGCTGGGCCGGGGTCGGGGGGGGCCCGCGCCCCCCAGCCGGGCTCTGCCCTCGTTATTAATAATCGCGGAGCCGAGGCGGGCTGCGACAATAATATAACTTAACCTGCAAACTGCTGGTTGGAAACAGACCCCATCCCGACACTCGCTTGCAAATTCCGAGTTGTGGCTGTTACCGCCTCCTCCCTCCTCCTCCTCGGCCAGCTTTGAGGGTATCAGGCCAGCCAAAAAAAAAAAAAAAAAAAAAAAAAAGAAAAAAAAGAAAAAAAAAGGAGGAAAAAAAAACCAACAAAAAAACCCAGCTTAGACCCCGCCGGGAGGGAGCCGGGAGAGGTTTGACTCCATCTTCACTCCAACAATAGGGGTGGGAGGGAGCGGGAGGGTTTTTTCAAAGGCTCCCAAATTCTCGCAGACAATAGCAGCCCCCGCCCCCCCCAGGACCCACCCGCGGGGCCGGGGGGCGCCGGGCCCTGCTCCGCCATCCCGTCCCCACGTGATCCTAATTAACCCCCCCGCTAATAGCGACACATTCCGGGAGGGATTTGCAGCGGGGGGGTGTGTGGGCCGACCCCCCCCCCACTTCGGGCACTTGGGGGCGAGGCCACCTGTCAAGGCAAGAGGTGACACTCGGGGAGGGGGGGCTGGAGGTGGGACCCCCGGACACCGGCGGGAGCTGCCGCGTCGTTCGTCCGCGCCCCCTCCCCACGAGCGGAGCCACCTGCGAGCCGCGGCCCGGTGGGACGGGGAGCAGCCGGAGGAGGGGGACCCCGGGGTCTTCCTGCGCCCCCAGCCCCATCCCGCATCCCGGCACCGTGCGCCCCCCGGATGCGCCGCGCTTCCCCCCGGCCCGGCGGCACCGGGGGCGGTGCCGGGGCCCGGCGCCCCCCGGGCCGGGCGGGGACAAAGGGCGAGTGACCAGCGGCCGCATTTCCGGCGGCGGACAATGCCCCGGCCGCGGGGGCACAGCGCCGCCCGCCGCCCCGCCCGGGCTGTGCCCCCGAACCGGCCCGGCCGAGGGGCGGCGGGCCGGGGCGGCGTCTGCGCCCACCGCGGCCGCCCCACGCGGGGCCGGTCCCGCGTGGTGTCGCCGAGCGGAGCATCGGGGTCAGCGCGCGGTTTCACGGGGCACGGCCAGGGGGACCGCGGTGTCACCCGCGGGGGTCCCCCGGGCCGGGCCGGTGCTGCCGGTGGAATCCCGCGTGGGGAATCCCCGCGCGAGGCCGCCGCCGCCCGCGGGGCCGCTGCCGCTGGCCGTGGTGCTGAAGCGGCGGCCCTGTCCAGGGTCCTGGCGGTGCCCTTCGTCCTCCTGCTCTTCCTCTCCCTCCTCCTGCTCTTCCTCTCCCTCCCCCTGCTCCTGCCCCGCACACCGGGGGCTCCTCGTTGCCCCTTCCCCACAGAGCCGAGCAGCCCCGCTGGACCCCACTGGCGGACGGCAAAGCAGGAGGAAGAGGAGGACGAGGAGGAAGAGGACGGTTTTTCTCGGTGGAGGCACCCAAGGGAGCTGCTGGGAGCGCCCCAGCCCGCCAGGACTCGCGGTGCCGGTGGATCCGTGTCCCACGGGCACAGACGGACGGGAGGTGTCACCACTCACCCCCAGCCGGTGCCACAGCGTGTCCCTCACCTTCATACCGCCCTTAACGGGCCGGCGGGAAGCTCCGCTGGTGTCTCACCGTCGGTCCTGAGCCGATTCCCCAAAGCCGAGGAGCAGCACCTCACCTGCAGCAGAAGGAGGGAAGGGTCTGGCCAGGGTTTCCCATGGGATCCCCACTCCCATCCCTGGCCGGGCTCTGGCCGCCGCAGAACTCCCGGTCCGGGACGGGGCTGGTGGCAGTCCTGGCACGAAGGAAACCACGGTGCCCATCCCTGTTCCTGCTCCCCGTCTCTGCTGGCACCCAGCGCCAGCTCGGGTGGCGCCCCGGGACATCCCGGGACCATCCCGGGAGCAGGAGCGCGTCTGGCCCCCTCTCCTGGCTGCAGGGCTTGCACATCCATCCCCGTTTTCCTCTCGGCTGTGCGATAACCGGGGCAGGAGGGGAGAAAATAACCCACCCTCCAAACGGCTCCAGCCCCGTCCTCTCATCCCTGCTTCCATCCCTTCTCCTGCCCAGCTCTCCCCGTTTCATCGGGATTTGGGGAGGGCACGGGGAAAGGATGTGATGAGGAATGAGCTCTTTCTTGCTTTCTCCACAACGAATCCTTCAGAAAATCACCCACCCCCTGCACCCCCTCCCCCTGCAGCCCTTCCTGACGGACAGGAGCCACCAGCAGCCCCAGAGGCGTTTTCCTGTAACTCTTTGCAGGCAGCAGCAACTCCCTGAGCGTGCCCGGATTTCTGCCCATCCTCAGTGGCTCTCCAGCCCCGCGATGCATCCACATCCCCGCTCGGGGCGCTTCCATCCCACCCTTCCCCGCCGGCCCAGCCCGCAGCAGCGCCGGCCCCGTGCGGTATTTCTGTGTGTGCTGTATTTGTTTTCGGGGCCTGTTGAATGGCAGACGAGGAAGGGAAGGGAAGGGGACTCCTTCCTGTTCTTTCAGAGCCGGTCGCTGTGCCCTGCTCGGCTTCAAGGGAATAGCCGGCAAAGCGGCCGCTTTCACAAATAATGGCTTCATTAGATTGAAAGAAGTGGACAGTGACCTCACTGAAATGGACTTTCTGACCCCTGCTGACCTCTGGCCCCGGCTCTGACAGCCTGTAAATCTTCCCCTCGGCACGGCCGGGGCGAGGGCAGCAGCTCTGTGAGCCCGGGGCTGGCGCTGCTGTCCCTGGGCCGGACCCACGGAGCTGCCCCGGGGCTGCACCGGAGCCCTGAGCCGGCAGGATGAGCCCCGGGGCTGGGCAGCACCCGGGCACGTGGGTCCCAGCGCTGGCAGAAATCGGGACGGTGTCCCCAGGGTGCTGCAAGTCCCTCCGGGGTCCCCAAGTGCCGTGGAAAATGATCTTATCTCGGCTGAGGCTCCAGCGCCATCTCCCAGCGCTGTCACTGCCATCGCTGACCGGCTCCTGAGCAGCCTCCGAGCTCCTGCCAAAGGACAATGATCCCTCTGCCTGCCCACCCCAAAGCACAGCCCTCCTGGCTGCACAAACCTCCTCCAAGGCCGGCCGGGCCCACCTCCACCCCCTCCTGTGGGCACAGAGCCTTTCCTGCAGCCCCCACCACCTCCTTCCCCACCCAGCCAGCCCAGGAGCCTGGTGGCACTGTCCAGTCCTGCCAGCCCATCTGCTGCTGGGGAAACTGAGGCACGAGGGGGAGCGGTGGGTGCCCATGCTGAGCGCTCCTCCCTGCCCTGCCTCAGGCTGGCACTCGCTCCAGGGCTGGCAGCGAGCCCCTCTCACCCCACCTCCCTCCTCCCCACCCTTCCACGCTCGCTGCTGACCTTTGGCTACCGAGCAATCAATAACGGAGGCCACGGAGCTGCTCCTCCCGCCCCCGGCCCCCCACACCCCCTGCTCGCCTGGGGACACGGGGTGGGGGGACACTGGCACCAGCGTGCTCCCCGAGGGTGTCCTCACCAGGCAGCACCTTCCCAACCCTCCAAAAAAGGTTCTCTCCGGCCCTGGGTGCCCCACAGCTCTGGGGAGGGAGCGGGGCCATCCTGCTCCGTCCCAAATGGGCTGCCCGGGGCACTGGCACCTGGCAGGGGAGGGTGAGGAGAGCTCCCGAGGGTGCCCTGAGGGGCGCTGCCTGTGCCCAGGAGGATGGAGACAGTCCTGCCCCTGGCCCGGAGTGATGGCTTGTGCCCAAATTCGGCAGCTCCCTTTGATAAAAGCCCTGGGGCAGCAGCTGATTGATCGGCTGCAGAGCGGGGATTGATCAGGATTTCAGCCCATGCATATTCCTGCTCCCTGATAAAGGGGAATCGATAGCTGAAGGATATTCCTCAGAGGCTGCAGGCCCCCCCAGACCAGAGCTCACAAGTCTGCCCTTGTCCCTTAAATCCCCCCAGCCCCGTTCAAACCTCACTCCCCCAAGAGGAAATCCAGGCAGTGGGGGAGAAGCCTGGTTTGGGGGAGCCAGGAGGGCACAGCAGGATATTGAGGAAAGGCAGAGCCTCTCCCCAGCAGCTGAATCTCACCTCCCAAAGCATCGCCTCTCCCGCATCTTCGTCCTCTCACTGGTGGCCTGACAAACAGGGGTTTCATCTTTCCTGGGGTGCTGCAGAACCTCCTTCAAAGTCCTGCTCAGGGTGATCCCAAGGAAGCTGAGCTGGCTGATGCCTCCAGAACCCCTCGCCCTCATTGCCTCCAGACTCCAGACGGGCCGCCCCGCCGCAGCGCGGAGAGCTGCAAACGCATTGCAGCTGCGGGCAGAGCGGAGCGGAGCCCTCCGTCCCCCCCGGGACCGGGGACAGCCCCCCGGTGTTCACCCGGGGGAGGGGACACGGCTCATGGGGGGGTCCTTTTCCTTTTGCACTCTTATCTGCCACTCCCCCCGCCCGCAGGGACGATGCCGCGGGACCCCCCTGCAGCCCGGGGCGGCCTCGGGGCTGCGGGGCTCCCCCGGCCCGTGTCCCCCCCGGGAGCTGCGGCTGAGCCCGACCCCGCCCGTCCCCGGCGTGCCCGTGTCCCTCCCTTCGCACACAGTGACTCAAAGCCCAGGCTCGCCCCGGTGTCCCTCCAGTTTCTCCAGTGCCCGGGGAACTGGTTTGCTGCGGGGGGACCCTCCCCAGCGCTGCCTGAGCGCTGCCCGGCGGGCGCGGGGTTAGAACGGAGCTCCCGCTGGCTCGGCGCGGACACCCACCCTGGCACGGCCTGGCACGGCCTGGCACACACCGAACACACCGAACACACGCACCGGCACCGCCCCAACACCCAGCCGGGCCGGGGCTGCCGGGACCCCATCGCTGCCCCTCCTGCGAGCACCGGAGGGGTGCGGGGGGCAGATCCTGCTCCCGTGCCCGAGCCACAGCGACCGGCAGTGGGTCCCCGCGTGGGTGCTCAGCCACCCTTGGTGCCCTGGCGAAAGGCCCGGGAGGGGACCGGGGACGTGCCAGACCCCGGCAGAGGGAGCTCCGCTCTGCCTCAGTTTCCCCAGCCCGTGAGCGGTGTCACCCAGAGCGGGGTGGCCCCGGGCGCCCCAGCCGGAGCGGGACTGCGGCCACCTGCGCCGGGCTGGCGGTGGCCGGGGAGGCTCCTGGGCTGGGCCAGCAGCCGGGAGTGGTGGCCCGGGGCTGAGGCTGGCACCGCAGCGGGAGGGCAGGGCGAGGACACGGGGCGGGTGCTGGCCCTGCCGGGACGGGGCCCGGAGCCCCGGGGTCAGGTCTCCCGCGGTGGCCCAGGGCTACCGTGATGTCCACTCCCTCCCCAAGCCCGTGTGAAGCCCCCCAGAACCCCAGCCCTCCGAGACCGGGGAAATGTCCCCGCATTCGAAGCCCCTCGGGAACGCCCTGCAGTGCTGGGGGCTCCGCGTGGGACCCCCGGGAAGCGGATTGACCCGGGGCAACCCAGCCCTGCGGACCCCCAACCCCTCAGCACCCCGCGCTGGGGCCCCGCCAGCCCCACGGGCCGGGCCGTGCTGGCCGGAGGCGCGGGGACAAAGCGGTCCCCGATGTCCCATGCGAGGTTCCCATCGCGCTTCTCTCGGTGGGTGGTGGGATAGAGGTCCGGGGGGCCCGGAGCCACCCAGGCCGGCTGGGCTCCCTCCCGGCGCTGCTGAGTCGGAGGAAAAGGGGGAGCCGGGTTTGGAACCAGCCTGACCGGCTCCCCGGCTGTCAGCACCTGAGGAATGCCAAACCTCCGCTGCGCCAGGGCTGGGTGCTCAGGGCTGGGTGCTCAGGGCTGGGTGCTCAGGGTGACTCTGCCGGTCCGCCCAGCTGTGCGGTGTGCAGAGAGCAGCCCCGTGAGCCCGCTCGGCACGGCACGGCACGGCACGGCACGGCACGGCACGGCACGGCACGGCACGGCACGGCACGGCGGGACCCTCGGCCGGCAGGTACGGGGGGCGCGGTGCGCGGCCCCGGGCACAGGGCGCTGCCCGGGCCGGCCCGGTGCTGGCAGAGAACGGCTCTGTGCTGCCGGGGCAGCGGGACGGGAGCCCCGGTGCCACCCACGGGGACTGCCCGGTGCTTGGAGCCGAGCCCCGGCTGGGCAGGTGCTGGGATGGGTCCCGGCTTCCCCAGGACCACCACAGCCCAGGGAGGGGGGATGGGGCCGGGAGGTGGGGGCTGAGCCCAGCTCTGACCCTCTCACCCTCAGTGCCGGGATTTGGGGGGCTGCTGGGGGTGTAATCCAACTCCTGCCACCACAGTGCATCCCAAGAGATGCCAGAGAGAGCTGGGGCTCCTCCACATGTGCTGGCCTCACCACTCGGGCTGAGGGGACAGCGGGGCTCCCCTGCCACCCTTTGTCCCCCTCCGTGCCCATGACCCGGCTCAGCGTGGGGGGCAGGGGCAGCGAGGGGGGCCGGGGGCTCTCCTGCCCTCCCACCAACCTCAGCCCGTGCAGCAGCCACCCAGCCCAGGTCCCTGATTCTCCTGAAGGTGGCAGCTCCGCTCTCACCCGCGGTGACAGAGCTCAGCCCGGCGTGGCCGGAGGCTCAGCCTAATCCGTGGTCAGCGGCTCAAAGGCGGCCGCAGCTGCTGCCCTCGGCCCCCCCATCTCTCTTGAATATTAAACAGCACCTCGTGCCTTTGACTTGGGTGCTGGGGGACCCTTTGGGGCGACGGGAGGCAGCAAACGAGGTCAGCGGGTTGGCTCGGCCACAGGGGATTAATTAGAGCCGTGCTGGGTGCCCTGGTGTGCCAACAGCACTGGATCCAGCTTGGCACGTCCAGGCAGGCCGGGATAGCCGGCAGCGGCAGCCAGGGAGCTGCAGGCTCTTGCCCTCTTGTCCTTGCATCCTCGTGTCCTTGTGCCCTTGACTCGTTGCTGCAATGGGAATTATTTTAGGAAATGTGGTGCTGGGGCAGAGCAGGGCTCTGGGTGAGCTCCTTTCCCAGGACCTGGGGTGCCCAGGGTGGCACCGGGCGCTGGATCCAGCTGCAGGGGTGGGGTGGGGTGGGATGGGAAAGACAGACCTGGAGATCTTTGGAAATGCAGCTCCAGGTGAGAGGCAGGATGCTGAGCCAGCAGCTCCCCCCTTCCCCCAGCACCCCGGTGCTGCACGGAGCCAGCGTCCCTGTCCCTGTGTCCCTGTGCTGTCCTGCAGCCACGGGCATGGCCAGCACGTCCATCCCTCTTCCACTGGCGGATGCAATGGCCCTGGGCACCCAGCTGTGGCCCTGGGCACCCAGCTGTGGCCCTGGGCACCCAGCTATGGCCCTGGGCACCCAGCTGTGCCCATGTGGCTGTGCAGCCCCACCCGGGCTGGTCCCAGCCTCCAGCGGTGCTGCCTGTCCCAGACAAGGTCTCATCGCCTTCCGGAAAAATGACACAAACTCTTCCTATCTGTTCTGGAAAGACCTGCTGGGCCGGGGAGAGCAGGATCTGGAGGGTGCACGGCGGGCTGGCAGAAGGGGCAGGCAGCTGCCTGTACCCGGCATTCCCCGCCTGCCCCCTGATCCCCCTGGGGCCTGGGAAAACCCAACCTGCCGATGCCAGATCCATCCCGCCTGGCTGCTGCAGCATGAGGCCCTCTCCAAGGTGTCCCCCAGGAAAAGCAGCCCTGGGGGGCAGGGAGGTGTCCCCATTCCCAGATGGGGACCTTAATCTCAGCCTGTCCTCGGGCTGACCCCAAATCCCCATCCCTGCCATTGTCCCCAGCCGGGCGGTGACACCGAACAGCTCCTGACTGGGAGATCCTGGGACGTGGGTGCACTTCCAGCTCCCTCCCCAGCTGCTGTGTCAGCTGCTTCCCAAACCCAAACCCAGCAATAAAACCCTTCTGGGGCAGGCATGTGGCCACAGCACAGGGATTGTGCTGGCATCACCCCCAGGCTGAGGTGGCACATGTGTCCCTGCGCCCTGCCCTGAGCTGTGGGGACCAGAGCGGTGCCCATCCTGCAGCAGCCATGCCAGGACGTGGAGCTGTGTGCTGGGGACAGTCTGGGATCGGGGGGTGAGCTCTGGACGATTGTTCCAGTTGGTTTCCTCGTGCCCGTGGAGCTGCAGAGGTGGGCGCTGCCATCCCAGCTTTGCCACACAGCCACAGGGAAGGGTCAGGGGGTGAAGCTGCTCAGGTCTCACCTCCTCCTGCACACCCCGCGGCTGCCCCAGCCCCGCTCCTGATCCCAGCCAGGCCCTTTCCCGCACGGAGCAGCTTCCCTGTTGTTTTCTGGGCTTGTTTGTTTGCTGCATTTGCTGACTCGGCGCAGCCTTGCTGCCCGCCTGACTCATCCCACAGCTCGGGGCATGGCACGGCACGGCCTGGCCGCATCCTGAACACTCACCCGTGCCCTGCCAGGCTCCCCTGTGCTCTGCCAGGCTCTGGCACAGCCCACGGCCCACCACGGCGTGTGCCAGAGCTCTGCCGGACCCAGCAGCGCTGGCATGGCCAGGCAGAGGGAGCCCCCCACACCCCACACGTGCCAGGATGGATGGCACAAGCACCACCAGGAGCCCCATAGCCACCTCCCAAAATGTCCTGCAGGCTCACAGGGAGGTCTGTGGGGTTTAAAGTCCTGCTTTGGGGGCCGGGGTGTTGTTCTCAGCTCTCCCAGACTCCTTCTCTCCCTGCAGCTCTGCTGAGCCCGGCAGCGCGGGGCGTTCCGGCAGCACGGAACTGGAACCGTTCCCTGCCTGGCCCCCCGGTATGGATCCGCCATTCAGGCACGCCAAGAGCAGAGCCTTCATCTCCAGCGTGGAGCTGAGCGTGGGGCCGGGAGCCACGGCCGCTCCCGGGGGCACCTCCCGCTGCCAGAAGGTCCCACCGGTGTCACGGCGCCTGGAGAGCCCCGGGAGCGCTCGGGGCCGCGCCGGGAGCCCCTCCCGGGTGTCCCTCCTGCTGCAGGCCTGGGAGAGGGAGATCGTGGAGAAGACGGGCTCCAGCCCCACCGCCCCGACCCACCGCGAGCACTCATCCTCCGCCAGCCTCCTCAAGGACTTCACGGCGCACGGGCCCATCTTCTCGCAGGTCTATGCCCCGGCGCAGAGGCCCCGGCGCCAGGACGAGCGGGGAAAGGGGGGACCCGGCGGGGATGGCTCCCCCTCCTCGGCCGGTACCCCCCGCGAGGTGCCGGTGCACCGGGAGAGTTACGTGCACGGCGCCCTCCTGCCCACCCGCCCCACCGAGCGTCCCGTGGGGGCTCCCGGGGACGGTCCCGGTGCCCCGTGCGCTGCCGGGCACAGCCCTGCCGTGCCCAGGGCCAGGCAGGTCAGGGTGCTGCGGACGGGCAGGGACGTGGCGCAGGGACGGGGGGCTCCAAATGGGACACACGGCCCCAGGCAGGACGGCGGTGGCTTTGCTGTGCCCGCGGTGGGCAGGGAGAGCTCGGCGGGCAGCACAGAGGCCGCTGGGCTCCTGGCTGAGGGATCCCCCGAGGAGAAGGACTCGGCACAGGCCGAGCCCACGCCGCTGAAGGCAGCTGGGGGGGCCGGTGACAGACCTGGGGACCCGCAGACCAGCCTGGCCAGCTCCTCGCAGTGTCCCTCGGCAGGCGCCGGGGGCCAGGCTGCTCTGCCTGGCACTGGTGAGGGAAGTGTGGCAGATGTGGATGGCACCATTCCAGCCACGCCACCGAGGACAGAGAGCCCCCCAGGAGCTGGCAGCATCCCTGAGAACCACCCCCCAGAGGTGAGCGATGGTCCAGAGCCTTCACCCGAAACAGCAGCATCAGCAAAGGCTGAGATTGAGCCGGAGGGGGATGAGACGATGGGAGACCCCCAGGGCACAGCCCAAGAGGCTGAGAGCAGCCCAGAGCCCCCCAGCGAGCCCCCAGCCCCCGAGAGCCCCCCAGACGCGAGCGAGGAGGACCCCGAGCTGCTGGTGGACATGGAGATCTTCGTGGACACGCTGCGCAACATGGAGCCCTCGGAGATGCGGAAGGCGCCCAAGGCCCCGCGGCAGCCGCGGCCGTCGGCGCTGGGGCGCTGCGCGGCTCTGCCCCCCATCCACGAGGACCGCGTGGCCCCCCGCGCCCCCCTGTCCCTGCCCCAGGCCCTGCGGGAGCTGCTGGCGCGGGGCCCGGCGGCGCGGCCTGAGGGGGCCCGTGAGGAAGAGGAGGAGATCAAGAACCCCTACCTGAGCCCCGAGGAGCGGGCGGCCGCCAGGACCCTCCACGGGGCGCCCAGGGAAGGGTGGGCAGAGGGGGGCTCGCTCCTGGGGACACTGGGGGCAGATGAAAGTGCCAAACCGGTGGCCGGGGGCCCGGCCGAGCGGAGCGTGCTCTTCCGAGGGAACGTCCTCAAGGGCATGGCGCTGCTCTCCCACTTTTTGGAGCAGCGGGCGGCTGGAGCCGATGAGGGCAAGTCCTACTCCCGCCTGGACAACAGTGTGCTCTACAGCCGCTTCGTGTCCCCCGGTGCCGCCCTGCTCGAGCTGCCCGAGGGCGATGGGGGTTCAGAACTGCCCTGCCCCAGGGACCACAATGGGCTGGGCCCTGGTGGCCATTCTGGCCCCGAGATGGCCATGCTGGAAGCCCTGAGCTCTGGTTCTGTCCCTCCTGTCAGCGAGGAGCCAGAGAACACCCTGACCCTGAGCCTCGACCACGTCCTGGTGAGTGAATCCAGCACTGGGGGTGCTCTCCTTCCCCGGGGGGGTGGGAAGGGGTGGGGGATGAACCTGGAGCATCCTTCCCTGTTCCCAACTACGGCTGCTGCTTCCCGGCAGAGAGGCCGTGGGTGGAGCACGGGCACTGGGATGGGTGTGGGAGGGCACTGGGATGGGTGGTGGGAGGGCACTGGGATGGGTGATGAGGGGGCACTGGGATGGGTGATGGGAGGCACTGGGATGGGTGGTGGGAGGGACTGGGATGGGTGATGGGTTAGCACTGGGATGGGTGGTGGGAGGGACTGGGATGGGTGATGGGTTAGCACTGGGATGGGTGGTGGGAGGGCACTGGGATGGGTGGTGGGAGGCACTGGGATGGGTGGTGGGAGGGACTGGGATGGGTGATGGGAGGCACTGGGATGGGTGATGGGAGGGCACTGGGATGGGTGGTGGTGGGGCACTGGGATGGGTGATGGGAGGGCACTGGGATGGGTGGTGGGAGGGCACTGGGATGGGTGGTAGGAGGGCACTGGGATGGGTGATGGGAGGGCACTGGGATGGGTGGTGGTGGGGCACTGGGATGGGTGATGGGAGGGCACTGGGATGGGTGATGGGAGGGCACTGGGATGGGTGATGGGAGGGACTGGGATGGGTGATGGGAGGGCACTGGGATGGGTGTGGGAGGTCAAGGGATGGGTGATGGGAGGTCAAGGGATGGGAGGGTGCCACCACGGCTGCTGGGAGGGTCCCGGGCAGGTGCCAGGAGGGTCGGGGGCAGCCGGGACGCTGATCCCCAGCAGTGCAGGAATGCTCGAGGTGTGGCTGCCCGGGGCACTGGGAGGGCCTGGCAGACGCCAGACGCGAGGCTGCGGCTGCGGCTGCGGCTCCCTCGGGCTGCAGGGGGATGGCTGCTGCAGCCGAGGTCCCCCCGCGCTCCTCACCCGCCCGTCCCCTCGGCTCTTCACAGCACGAGGGTAAGGAGGGCTCGGAGAAGATCAACACAAGACCTGGCAAGGTACAAGGAGGGCGGTGGGGCCGGGCTGGGCCGGCCGGCCGGTGTGGCAGCACCTCCCCGCCGTGTCACCCTTCGCAGATCATCCTCTACTCCGATGCCGGCTTCGCGGGGCACAAACGGGAGATTTGGGACGACATCCCCGACGCCACGTCCTGGGAGCTGTCACACACCATCTCCATCCGAGTCATCCGGGGCGGGTACGGAGAGGACACCGCGGGCGGGACTCGCACCGGGGATGCCGCAGCCCGGGGCTCGGGAGCGCCCGTCCTGCCGGTGCTAATCCCCGCGGCCGTGGCGGCCCGTCCCCACCCACGCGTGTCCCGGGGGTGCGGACGATGCTGGATCTGCCCCGTTTTGCCCCGACCCCGCTCGCAGGTGGGTGATGTACGAGAAGCCGCGGTTCCGCGGGCGCAAGTGCGTCTTGGCCGAGGGGGACGTGGAGATCGACAACCCCTGGACGGCGTACGGTGACACCGGGGACACCGGGGACACCGGGGACAGCGGGGACACCGGGCAGCCCCGCGGGAGCCGCCCTTTCCGCATCGGCTCCTTCAAGCGGGTGGTGCGGGTGAGTGCTGAGACCCCCGCAGCCCCCAGCGCCCCCAGCAGAGGGGCCGAGCCCAACGCCGCTGTCCCGTCCCCGCAGGATTACCGCAGCCCCGAGATCAGCCTGTTCGCCGGGGAGAACGGCCAGGGAGCCCGGCTCCGCTTCAGCGGCTCGGCCGAGGACACCCGCCAGCGGGGCCAGGCGCTGGCAGCCGCCTCCATCATCGTCCACTCGGGCCTGTGAGGACACCCGGGGCTGGGCTGGGGATGCCGGGTGGGCTCCAGCACAGATGGGAGCGGGGGTGATGCCTTTCCCCGTTCCACAGGTGGCTGCTTTATTCCAAGCCTTTCTTTGATGATGATCCCTACGTTCTGGAGCCAGGCGGGTACCCCAATTTAAAGGCTTGGGGAGCAAAGGATCCGTCCATCTGCTCCATGCATCCCATCAGGCTGGTGAGTGCTGGTGCCCGGGGTGTGCTCCAGGGTTGTATCCAGGTGTCAGCGAGTTCTGGCAGCTCCTGGTTGCCATCAGTGAGATCACGCTGTGGAAACAGGCCAAGCGTGGCTTTGGAAAGTGCTCCTGTGGGTTAGGGGTGAGGGAAAGCTTCAAAAGAGCTTCGTGAATGAAAACAACCCAAAAAGCAGCTCAGGCTTTAAAAGGTGGCAGCAGATGTCCCTGCAATGCCCCCTCCTGCCACCTCAGCCTCACTGGGGCTCCTTCTCCTTCCAGGGCTGCCCCGTGGTGGAGAGACCTGGTGAGCCACAGGTGAGCTCTGGTGCTGGGATGGCCCTGGGACCACCCTCACCCCACCTTGTCCCTCCCTCACCTTTCTCACCTGCCCCCAGGTGCTGATCTATGAAGCTGCAGCTTTCCAGGGCCGCAGCTTCACCATCAGCAGAGACATCTATGACCTAAAACGCCTGTCCGAGCCAGCGCTGCCCACCGTGGGCTCCCTGCGTGTCCTGGGGGGCTGGTGAGTGGCACGGGGAGGGCAGGGAAGGCGATGGTCACCCCTGGGAAGGGCAGTGGAATGGCTGGGGGTCACTTGGGAGAGAGGCTGTGGATGGTGTCCCCGCGCCCCAGCACGTGGAAATCCTCTGGAGTCCTCACTGCCCGTGTCTGCCTGTGCCACAGCTGGGTTGGCTACGAGAAGGAAGGTTTCCGTGGCCACCAGTACCTGCTGGAGGAAGGCGAGTACCAGGACTGGAGGCAGTGGGGCGGCTACAGCGAGGAGCTGGTGTCCCTACGGCTGATCCGGACGGTGAGGGCAGGGGTGGGAATGGCTCGGGAATGGACTTGGTGTGGGCAGAGAGAGCCAGGCAGCCTCACCCCATCCTCCCCCCCAAAGGGAGCCGTGCCTGCCTGTGTCAGGCAGCTGGGCACGGCCTGAGATCCCCCAAAATCAGCCAAGCAAAGGTTTGGCAGCTGCTCCCACCCTCCCCGGGGTGCCCGAGTGCAGGCAGGAGCCCGGCTGTGCGTGTGCCCAGCCCACAGCTCCTTTCCCTGACACACCGTGGGGCTGGGGGGGGCTCCTTGTCCCCACAGGACTTCTCTGACCCAGCGCTGGTGCTGTTCGAGGCCATGGACTTCGAGGAGGGCGCGAGCGTGGAGCTGAGCGAGGCGCTCCCCGACACGCGGCTGGCCGGCTACGGCAGCGTCACGCAGTCCGTGCACGTGCTGAGCGGCGTGTGAGCGTGGGACGGGGACTGGGGGGACTGGGGGGGCTCTAGGGGGACAACGGGCCAGCACTCACCCCCTCCCCGCAGCTGGGTGGCCTATGAGGGCCCCAACTACTCTGGCGAGCAGTACGTCCTGGAGAAGGGCGTCTACCGCAACTGCGAGGACTGGGGGGCCACCGACTGCCGCATCGCCTCGGCACAGCCCATCCTGCAGGTGAGGGAGGGGACAGCCCCTCCTCACGGGACCCCCCGGCCCGTGGGTGTCACGGCCAGACTCCCACCGGGCCCGCTCTGTTTGCCTCCAGGTCAGGGAACACAACCTGCACTTCGTCTCCAAGGTCAGCGCTGGTGGTGGGGAGGGGGACGCAGCCCCTTGTGGGGTGGTGGTGGTGGGCTTTGCCCCCTCACCGAGCCCCTCTGCTCCCCTCCCCAGATCCTGCTTTTCTCAGAGCCCGACTTCTTGGGGGATCACGTCGCCTTTGAGGAGGACCAGGAGGCCCTGCCCGAAGGCTTCATCCCACGCTCCTGCAGAGTGCGTGGGGGCAGGTAGGGTGTCGGGGGTGCTGGGGGAGGGATGGATGCCCTGCGTGGTGGCTCTGTCAGCGCGGGAACGCTCCTCCCCACCAGCTGGATCCTGCTCGACGGGCAGGACTTTGCCGGGGAGCAGCACGTGCTGTCCGAGGGCGAGTACCCCACGCTCAGTGCCATGGGCTGCCTCTGCTCCACCGCCATCCGCTCCTTGAAGAGAGTTCCACTGGTGAGTTCCTTTCCTTTCCTTTCCTTTCCTTTCCTTTCCTTTCCTTTCCTTTCCTTTCCTTTCCTTTCCTTTCCTTTCCTTTCCTTCCCTTCCCTTCCCTTCCCTTCCCTTCCCTTCCCTTCCCTTCCTTCCCTTCCCTTCCCTTCCCTTCCCTTCCCTTCCCTTCCCTTCCCTTCCCTTCCCTTCCCTTCCCTTCCCTTCCCTTCCCTTCCCTTCCCTTCCCTTCCCTTCCCTTCCCTTCCCTTCCCTTCCCTTCCCTTCCCTTCCCTTCCCTTCCCTTCCCTTCCCTTCCCTTCCCTTCCCTTCCCTTCCCTTCCCTTCCCTTCCCTAGCAGATGCCCCCAGAACGTTTTTCCCTCTCACGGGCACCCCCAGTTCTGGCTCTACACCCCAGGAACCCTCACTCCCCCCTGTCCCCACCCCACAGTTTTTCTCGGAGCCCTCCATCTTCCTGCACGGGCTGGAGTGTTTTGAGGGGAAGGAGATCGAGCTGAACTCCGAAGTGCGGAGCCTCCAGGCCGAGGGTTTCAACAACCACGTGCTGTCGGTGCGGGTCAAAGGAGGGATGTAAGTGAGCCCTGGTCCCCTGGCACCCCGTGGGTGTCCCCTGCCCGCCCTGTGACCTGTCCCGTGCCACCCTGTCCCCACAGCTGGGTGCTGTGCGAGCACGGCGACTTCCGAGGGCGGCAGTGGCTGCTGGACTGCACCGAGATCACCAACTGGCTGACCTACAGCGGGCTCCAGCACGTGGGGTCCCTCTACCCCATCCGCCAGGTGAGGGTCACCTTTGGGAGGGGACAGAGCCGTGTCACCGCATGGGGTGAGCCCCAAACCCCGGGACGTGAGGCTCACATGGAGACAGAGCTGCCAGCCCTGGGCTGGGGGAGCTGCAGAGGAGCAGTGACAGCTCTGACACGGGAACGGTGCCACCAGCTCGGCACTGCCACCCCAGATTCCCGTCCCCCACCCTGGGAGTGGTGCCTTTGTGGCGAAACGCTCCCCGTGGGTAAGTGCCTCGTAAAAATCACGGCATCCCAGCGCGGCGAGCCGTGCCCGTGCCAGCTACGAGGGACAGGTCACGGTCACAGCCATCGCCCTGGGGACACGTGGGGATCTCCTGGGGGGAGGACAAGGGGGAGAACCCACCCAGGGGTGCAGGATTCCCCCCTCCCAGAGCCCCAGCCGGTGGGGAGGGCAGGCAGCCGGGTTTTTGGGTGCAAACACCGGTTCCTCTCTTGCAGAGACGGATCTATTTCCGCATCAGGAGCAGGGAGCTGGAGCTCTTCCTCTCGGTCCCCGACGACGTGGAGGACATGAAGGCGGGGCGGGTGGTGGTCTCCAGCCTGAGCGAGCAGAGCAGCTCTGTCTGGTACTACGAGGACGGGCTGATCAAAAACCAGGTCAGAGCTCAGCTGCGACAGCCAGCGCCACCGAGGGGAGCAGGGCAGGACTCCTGCTGGGCACTCCCCACCCCACAGCCATCTCCCAGGGTTTATAAGAGCTTCTCCCAGCCTCTGATCCCAGCCTTGTCCCCAGAGATCTGGTGATTCTCCTCCCCGAGTCTGCCCTGGAGATGGGAAGCCATCTCTGCCTTTCCTGAGGAGTTTCTGTCACCTTCATCACCCCCACCTCTCGCTGAGGGGGTCTTCCTGCTCATCCCACATTCCACCAGATCCAGCTGCCCTACAGGGAGACCCCCTCCCTCCGTGTCCTTGCAGGTGGCCCCCAACATGAGCCTGCAGGTCATCGGGCCGGCTGGCAAGGGCGCCAAGGCCGTGCTGTGGTCCGAGACGCGGGTGCCACGTCAGACCTGGAGCGTCGATTCCCAGGGACGGATCCGCAGCCAGATGTTCGAGGACATGGTCCTCGACGTCAAGGGTGAGGCTTGGACAGAGGCTGCTTCCCCAGGGATGCCCAGAAACGGGGTGTTTCCATCAGGAGTGGGGTTCGCCCTCCCCAAACCTCCCCCTCGCTCTGCAGGCGGCCGAAGCTACGACCGGGACCACGCCATTGTTTGGGACACGGCTGATGAGCGACCCACGCAGCTCTGGGACATCCAGGTGCTGTGAGGGGCAGAGGTGCCATGGGGCAGGACGGGGACGCTCTGCCAGCGCCCCCACACTGGGGCAGGAGGCCTCAGAGCCCACCCACGCTGCATCCCGAGCACCTCTCTGCCCCAGCTGCTGGTGTGAAGGATGGCCACCAACCCACCCATCACGGGGGGACCACCCCACCTCCCTCCCAAGGAGGCCTGAAGGTGGTCCATGAAGGATCCCATGGACACGGCCAGCGTGGGACCCTCTGGAGAGCAGCAGGGCCCCTCCCCACAAGTGTCTGTTCCCCCTGAACTGTATTTATGTACGTGTGTAAGATACAGCCCTGCTTGTCTGGGCCAGCTCTGCCCGGGTGCTTGGTGTCCTTGTCCTGCCCACAGCCTGGCAGCACCCCGTGCCCAGCCCCGATCCCGGTGCCGGGATGGGATCCCGGTGCCAGGATGGGATCCCGGTGCCCTCTAGTGCCCACGGGCACAGGCAGCTCCATGGCCGCGTTCTTGGAGGAGGGAGGCGTGTGTCGGTTGCCCCAGGACCCGTCCAGGCAGGGGGACAGGCGGCCACACGAGGGACTCAAAGGTTAAGATCGGCCCGGCAGGAAGGGACGCTGAGGAACGCGAAAGCCCCTCAATATTGCAGAGCCCCCACAGGACCACTCAGGGCCGCGTCCGCGCCTCACAGGAAGTGAGGCGCCTGTGCTCACCCTTTAAATTAACCCTGTCGGGCTGTGATTGGCTGAGGGCGGGAGGTGGCGGCGCCGGATTGGCGGGGAGCAGCAGCCCCTGCTGCGGGATTGGCGGGGGCTGCGCACGGGCCGCCGCGCCCAAGTCCCGAGGGACCGCTGAGGGACCGCTCGGGAACTTCCGGAACCGCTCGGGGACCGCTCGGGAACTTCCGGAACCGTTCGGGGACCGGTCCGGGACCGCTCGGGAACTTCCGGAACCGCTCGGGAACCGCTCCGGGACCGCTCGGGAACTTCCGGAACCGCTCGGGGACCGCTGGGGGACCGCTCCGGGATCCCCGGGAACCGCTCCGGGAGCGCTCCCGAACCTCCGGAACCGCTCCGGGACCCCTGGGGACCGCTCCGGGAGCGCTCCCGAACCCCCGGAACGGCTCCGGGACCCCTGGGGACCGCTCCGGGAGCGCTCCCGAACCCCCGGAACCGCTCCGGGATCCCCGGGAACCGCTCCGGGAGCGCTCCCGAACCCCCGGAACGGCTCCGGGACCCCTGGGGACCGCTCCGGGAGCGCTCCCGAGCCCCCGGGACCGCTCGGAGAATCCCCGGGGGATGCTCACTCGGGGTCCCGGCCCTTCTCCCCCCCGGTTCGGGCCTGGCCCCACCAGCCCCGAGGGCTGAAGCCCCGGGAAGGGGCCGGTGCTGCGCCCGCACCAACCCCGGTACCGCAGCGGGAGAACGAGCCCGAGGTGTCGGCACCGGCGCGTTTATTGCTGCGCTCCGCAGGGCCGGGGGCTCGCTCCGAGGCCGAGGAACGGGGGCGGTGCCGGTGATGCCGTCCTGGGGAGGGGCTCCGGGGGGCTCAGCGCAGGTGCGGGAGGAGCGCTGCCAGCGCCCCCAGAGCCACGGGCAGGAGCGGGGGGCCGGCACCGGGCGGGCTCGGGCTGCCGCTGGCCGTGGCGTTCACCGCGGCGGCATCTTCCGGAACGGGCTCCTCCGCCTTCGCTTTCGGGTCCTTCGCCTGGCCGAGCGACTGGCAAAGAAAACAGCGTCAGACATCCCTCCCGACGGCAGCGCGGCGGGGAGAGCCCCGACACCCCCACGGGACGGTCCGGGGACACCGCGGTGCCCACCGGCCCAGCGGGACAAACGCCCTCCTGTCCCCTGGCAGGGTCCCCTTCACGCTCCAGCTCTTGGCTTTGGGCTCGAAGTGAGCTCTCCCTGGAATCGCTGCCCTGCTGCTAACCCGTGGCGTTCAGAAATCAGGGGAAGTGGAAGCCAGGGAGCGGTCTCTGCTCCTCTGGCTGCTGCGGGGAGTGGTGAGAAGGTGCCGGGCCATGGCCCTGCAGAAGAAGAAGAAGAAGAAGAAGAAGAAGAAGAAGAAGAAGAAGAAGAAAGCGAGGGGCAGCAAAAGGAGGGACCCCGAGCCCGGGCAGGGCGCAGTCGGTGTGTGAAATGCAGCACAGCCAGGCTGGCAAGCTCGGGGCAGTTTCTTTCCCTCTCTAACGCTGCCCTGGCTGCTGGAAAAGCGATGCCGTTTCCCACACAGTGAAGCGCACTGTCTTACACCCCTCCCAGGGTCCCTCCCGAGATGGGAAAGGACCAGGAATGAAGCCCAAAACTCTGCTCTGCCCCTTTGCCACACTCTTGTCCTTTTTGCCTGCTTTACAGAGGGGAAAATCCCCAAATCTACATGCACCCCGTGGAGCCGGCAGCAGGTCCCATCTGTGGGGAACTTCGTGAGTGAAAGAAGCACAGACAAATCTGGCATCGGTACCAACATGTAGGGAAAAAAAAAATCATCCCAAAAGCTGCCTCAAAGTGCTGGTGGGTTCATCCCTGCCACCCAGGAGAGCCCCGTGTCCCCAGCCTGGCTCTCAGTCCGTGGAACCCCGGCGTAGGAAGGGCAGGAACAACCAGAGGCAACCACAGGCGTGTGTCCAGCAGCCCCTCCAGCCCAGCACCCCCAGTGCGGGCACAGCCAGGCCGGAAAATGGGCTGGAGAGCTCTGCCAGGCTTCCAGAGGCCAGCGGTACCCTCAAGGCAAAGAAAGGCGTGAAGAAAGAACCACATGGAAGAGTTCGGACCTCCCGGAGCACAGCACAGCGGTGAAAGCCAGAGAGAAAACCAAAGCTGGAGGTTTTCAGCTGGAAGCAGAGGGCAGAGGTGGGAGCTGGGCACATCCTTACCAGGCACAGGGCGAGCAGGGCGAGCAGGCGGGCACGCTGCAGGGGCGGCATGGCCGGGGCTCCGCGGGGCTCTGGCACTTCCCGTGGCACTTCCCCGTTTGCCCCGAGCCTTTAAGGCCGGCGGGGGCACCGCGCACCCAATCGCGCCTCCCTTCCCCGGCAGCGGCGGGACCGGCGCCCTTTGGGTTTGGGGAAGTCGCAGCTGCTGCCTGCGCTGCGAGGGAAAAGGTGCAGGAGGTGGATTTGCTGCTCCCCTGGCACCGGAGCAGCTCCCTGCTCCCGGGCATGGCAGTGATGAGGGACAGAGCAGAGAAATTTCAGCTCTCCCGGAGTCGCTGAATAAAGTGGTGTAAAGGGATGAGCACAGGATGCCAGCCATGGAGGGAAGCAGTGGAGAAATGGACGAAAAGGATAAAAATTAAATTCCCCACTACAGTGGGGGTTCTTTTGGAAGTAAGTGAAAAGAAGCAATGGTGCATCCCCAGATAAAAAGTTGAAGCAAAGGCTGAAAGCCCTCAGGCTCTGCTTCTCTCTGGGGCCTCTCTGTCCTCACACCCACCAGGGACTAAGAGTGACTGAAACCCTCCCTGGATCAGCGGGAGGGTTTGCAAATCGCAGCCCAGGTTGGAAGGAATAAACCTCCTTCCCTCCAGGTGGAGCTGGAGCCGAGGCGTCCCTTGGGATTTCAGTTACAGATCCTAAATAAAGGGGGAAATGCTTCCTTTAATCCCCTGAAGTGGGAAATGCTTCCTTTAATCCCCCAGCTCCCTCTGCTCACAGCAGATCTCTGAGCTCCCTCACCCTGCAACACAGGAAGCGAAAGGGATCTGGTTATTTTAAGATGGTTTGAAATGAATAAAGTCACTGGAACGTGCTGAGAACACACACCTGCTGTCTGGGTTCGTGCTGGTGAAGCACATCGTAGTGAGCTCCCCGTCAGCTCCCACCCTCAGCCGAGGGCTCTGCTGCGGAAAAGCTTTACCAAATTTTGCTTGGTTTTGCTCTTTGGGCAAGTAGAAATTACTTGAGCCCAGCCAACATCCCTGGCAGTGTCCAAGGCCGGGTTGGACAGGGTTTGGAGCAATGTGGGACAGTGGGAGGTGTCCCTGCCCAGGGCAGGGGGTGGGATGGGATGGGCTTCGGGGTCCCTGGAGCCCAAACCCGTCTGTGGTTCTGTGCACGCCCCATCAAAGGGGGTAGAACTGGGGGGATAACTGGCCTGTGCCACTCGCCTGCAGCTGGCGAGGCCGAGCTCTCCGGGTGGGATGGGGACACCCAGGAAAGGCTCCCGGGATGGGGACCGGAGCTGGGGCAGCACCAGCGGGGCCCCGGTGAGAAAACAGGGACCGAGGGAGCAGCTGAGGGAATCGGGAGGAGCCCCGGGCCAGGCTGAGATGTGTGTACAGAGAGGGGCTGAGGAGAAAATTGGGTCCCACTCCCGGTAATTCCCGGCGCCGGTGTCCCGGGAGAACGCGCGCGGTGCACGCTGGGAATTGTAGTTCCCGGGGAACTACAGCGCCCTTCACGTGACCAGCGCCGGACCAATCGCAGCCGGCCCCGCGTCGCCGTGGCAACCGGCTGTACACAAGATGGCGGCGGGAGGTGAGTTGCCAGGCCAGGCCAGGCCCGGGCCAAGGAGTCCCTGCAAGGCTCCCTCCGCTCCTGCTCCGGGGTCTGCACTAATAAAACACGGAGGGTAAAGCCCGTGGGGGAGCTGGGAGTTCTGGCCCAGCGGTTTTTCGGTGACACTCCCGGCCAGACCCCTTCTGTGGCTCCCCTCTCGCACGCACAACCAGAGCCGAGGGATTTTTACCCGAAAAGTCCTCCCTGCTGTGGCAGACCAGGAGCCCTGCTCACAGGTATTTGTGCTTTCAGGTGCAGCTCACGCTGACGTGGAGCTCTCGTCCTCTCTGGCGGAAAAAATCTCTCTGTTGGAACAAAAAATAGAGAAACAAGCAGAAGAAATCCAGCTGCAGGTAAAAGTCAGCCTCTTGCTGAGGCTGCTCTGTCCCCTGCCACAGGAATTTCACCTCTCAGACCTTGTGTGGGCTCAGAAGTCCATCTGTGGCCTGCTGTTAATTACCCAAATGAGCCCTTTACAAAGCAACTGAGCAGTGGGATCAGGCCTTGGGGTGGCAGAGGGGACAGTCCCTGCTGGGGCTTCTTGCAGCAGTGACTCTCAGCACCCTGGCACTAACATCAGCAGCTCTTTGGCTTCAGAATTAAATTTTTTTCCTTCCTGTGGTGGTACATGCCCCCTTTTGTTTTCTGAAACAGCAGCTGCTTGCACAGGAGAGTGGTACTGGAGCAGCCCTCTCTGCATCACTGACTGGAATAAAGACCCTTTAAAATCTTAGAATAAAAACCTTTTTTTGTTCAGTTTGGATTTTTTAAGACGTGGCTGCAGAGATGCTGGTTTAGTTGCCAGACCAGCAGGTCTGAGCAGGAGCATCAGGTGCAGAGGGAGGATGGGAGATGGGTCACCCACTCCAGGAGCTCTCCATTTATCCCAGCCCTCCTTTGAGGCTCATTAAGGTGTTTGTGGGGTGATTCAGCCCTGCTGAGCCTTTGGGCAGCGCTGGGTGGGGGCAGAGGAGCTGCAGCAGCCCAGGACTGACCCAGCCCTTTGTTCTGCCCCTGAAGGACGGGAGGATCGCCGAGCTGGAGGAGAAGATAAAGACTCTTCAGGAAGGGGAAGGTAAAAATCATTCTGCCTTTGGCAGCTCCAGAGCAGGGCAGAGCTGGCGTTTGTGTCTGTTACTCTGCTGCAAAACATCCTGAGCTGTTTCTGTGGGTTTCTGAGCTTCCACGGGTGCGAAGCCAACCACAGGCAGCCGAGGATGGGCAGAAGTGCAGTAAACACTGCTGAGGAAGGCAGCTCCTCACAGCTGGGAGAAACCAAACACACACGCAGGATTCCGAACTCCAGATTGAGCCCAGCTCGCAGTGAGTCCCTGGAGGTGTTTTCCCCTGCTCAGCTCCCTGCATCCAGCAGCTTTTCCAGCCCCAGCTGGAGCCCACACACGTTTCCTGCAGGGCTGAACGGCCTGCTGTGTGCAGGGCTGTGGTGAGCTCTCCATTTCCTGAGCACAGAGCTCAAATGTGGCTGTCAAACCACAGACACGAGCTCTGTTCCCCCTGCTGCACCGTGCTGCCATCCAGCCAAGATTCCAGGATCCAGCTGCAGCAGGCACCTGCTCCTTTTGGGCTCCTTAGGGCTGAGGGAGCTGAGCAATTTCCACCGTAGGCCTGCCAACAGCACCACTCACATCAGCTCCCGTGGTTTTAAATTCCCTGGGCTGGTTCACAACTGTCCTTTGGTCTGCCAGCAGCGTTGTCAAACCACTGCAGGGTGAATTGTCCCCTTCAGTCCCTGTGTCCCACGGGTGGGAGTTCACTGAGCACAGGCAGGTGCTGCTGGGGCTCTGCCCTGTGTGGCACAGGTGATCCACAGCTCTTCCTTCAGGATCTTCAGAGGAACATCAGCTTTTCTCTTACAGATGCTTCTGACTCGGCCAGCACAGAACTGGAAATGAGGTGCTTTCGGCTGCAGAGCCAGGTCTGGGAGATGGAGGTGAGGCTGCTCTGCCTGCCCTGAGCCAGCTCTCCTGTGTCTGGGGTCACTGCACTCCCAGTTTGGCCTTTTCCAAGCTACCCCTTTGATTCTCACAACCCTTCACCTCTGAGAAGGAGGAGCAGGCTGGATGTGAGCAGCAGGAGAAGGTTTAAACACACCAACACCTGTGCCCTGATTGCCAGGGCTGCAGGAATGCCCAGCTCCTGCAGCCCTGGGAGGTTCCCCTGGCACTACAAATCTCTCCTCCTCCCTTTCCCCTGCTGCGGATAGAGCTGCTATCACTGCCCTGCCAGGGAGTCTGTCTGTGTGCCAGGGCCAAGCCAAACCTGTTCCACCTCCCTCTGTGCCTCCCACAGCCACAGCTGACCCCTCTTGGGCTCCCTTTTCCAGTTCTCTGCAGCTCTGGGCACCAAAGCCGACCTGACTCTGGTCTTGCAGCGGTTCCTGAACGACTACGGCCTGGTCTGGGTTGGAGAGGCACGGCACCAGCTGGGAGACCCAGAACCACTCCAGGAGGAGGAGCTGCCAGCAGGGAACCCCTGCAAGCCGGGTAAATAAAGCTCTGTCAGATCCCAGCTTCACTCTGGCTGAAGCTGCTAGCCCAGCTCCCACCGTGTGCTCAGAGAAGGGGGAGTAGAAAAGCACCAAAACCTCAGGATTTGGGTCTTCAGAATTTGGGATCCTGGGCCAAGATCTTCACATCGATCCCTCTCAGGGACACAAACGTGGAGCAATCTAACAGGAGCTCAGCAGAAGGTTTAGTTTTATATACCTGTGTTATGTACACCCTTCTGGGGGAAGGGGGGAGAACCTGATGGCTCAGCCCTGCAGGAGGAGCAGCTATTTCCTGCAGAATTCACAAACCTGCACATTTGAGGCTTGGCTGCTCTAATAACATTGACACAGAGTGGGTGGAAAACGGAATCAGGTGCTTTGTGTACACAGGAGCTGTAGTAACTTACCCACAGAGCCTGGCTCCATCAGGGAGTGTTGTTTGCCTTCCCTCCCAGCCACCGTGTGAGGGTTTAATTGAGACCTGACTCTGCTGTCTAGGGTCCAAGCAGCTTTGGCAGTGGCTCCTTAGGAAGTGGTAACAGAGGAAAAAAAAATGATTTGGACTGTAGAGCCAAAGCTGCTTCCTAACCACCAGGCAAGCATTAGCCTGGAGCTTCCCTTAGATGCAGGAGGGCAGAGGGAGTGCAGCAGAAACAGTTTTGGTTTCAGCTCGGTGACCCTTTTCAAGGGTATTTCTGCATCATTCTTTAGCAACGCATAAAAAAAAGCAGAACAACCAAGGACTTCAACTCAACTAAGATCATTCCTCTCATTTCCTCTTTTGACTTCTTTCCTCTGTCCTGTCACAGCCCTTTTACTACTTCCCCCTGCCACCCTCAAAGCCCCAGACAAACATCCTGGCGGAGTCCCTGCCCTGCTGCAGGCAGCTGCCTGTGTTGATGCTGGCACCTCCTCAGCACCCGTGCCCTGATCCTCTGACCCAAGCTGCTTAATCCAGCTGGTGCAGCTCCTCATCCTGCAGGGCACAGGGACAGCACAGCACTCCTGAGAGGATCCAGCAGCCCAGTGTGGGCTCCAGGAGCTGCTCTGGAGCTGCTCTGGAGCTCTGAGCTGCAGTCCCAGCGCTGCAGGCCTGCCCTGCCCTTGTGGTTCAGCACACAAAAGCTGGCACCACGTTCTGCAAACGTGTGAAGGGCAAAGCACAGGCAGCCCAGCAGTGGCAGGGCTGGAACACAGCTCAGATTCACAGCGACAAACCCATCCTGCCCCCCTAACTCTGATCCCTCTGCCACAGGTGAGCCCGGTGTGTGCAAACACCAGATTGACTTTGATTTAATCCTGGAGAACATTAAGGATTTGAACTCGCTGGTGGGAGAGGGCATTCCTCAGATCGTGCACACGCCTCGGGGGGCTCGGCTGGGGCGGCCGGAGCCGCTGCCTCTGACCCTGTACCGAAATGGGATCGTCGTGGGACACGGAGCCTTCCGGCCCTACCAGCACCCAGCCACGCAGGTATGGCCAGGGCTGAGAGCAGTCAGAGCCATCCTGCCAGCACCCACCGAGCCCAGGAAAGGGGAGAGGGCTTCTGAGCTCCCCTCAGGCCTGCAGAGCAGCCCCCTGCACCCCTGCCGTGCCTGGTGTGTCCTGCAGTAATGCCAGGGATGGAAATGCTGTGTCTGTGGTGCTGCACGGCCACAGCCCCACACACAGGAGCAGCCCAGCAGCAGGCTGAGGTGTGACCTCCGTGCTCTCAGAGCTCTCCTGTTGTTTCAGCAATGCCTGCAGGACATCATGGATGGTTATCTCCCCTCAGAGCTGCAGCCAAGCTACCCCGATGGTGTCTGCTTGCAGGCAAGTGCCACACCCTGCTCTTGGCTCTTGGCACGGGGATTTTGCCGGATGGTCCCCGGAGAAGGGGAGGCTGAGGTTTGTGGTGCTGTGCAGGTGTGTCTGGGGCCAGGGGAGCCGTTACAGGAAGGGCTTCAGCATCAAGGCTGAAGGGTTCCTGTGCCTCAGTGAACCTGCCTTGGAACAAGGCTTCTGAGAGCTCTGTAAGACAAGCAGCACATGCAGGAAATGAAGAGGTGTGTCACAAAAAGAATGGGGGAAAAGGTCTCAAATAGTTCCCCTGGAAAAGCTCGTAACGTGAGAAAGAACAAGAACCTTTTAAAGACGATGTCATGAGAGTTTATTTTGCCACAGCTTAAATGGATTTGGCCACCTGAGGTTCATTTGGGCCCCAGTTTTTGATTTCTCAGAAATGGCAAAGAGCCAAAGCCACATTTGCAGGCAGAGAGCCTCAGAGGACTCAAATCTGGGTCTTGGAGAGCACCTGCAATGTCAGCAGGACAACCAGAGGCTGGACTCTCCCCGTGCCACGGAGAAACCAGGGCACAACTGCCTGAGCAGGACAAGGTCAGGCCAGCTGGAGCGAGCTGGGAGCTGTGGAGGGTCAGAAGTCACACAGAAGGGGGATTGTGCAAAGCTCTGGGGGCTGAGGTTCCCTAGAAGCAGCCTTGGTTTCTTTTGGGGTTTACAACTGCAGCTGGCTATCGCTGTGGTTTGCTGGGCTGTGATGCAGCAAGAGGAGCTTGTGCAACAGGCAGATTTGCTTACAGGTCACCGACAGGAGGGACGTGGTGTTTCAGAAGCCAGACCTTCCAGGGAGCTTTCCTGGCCTTGGCCAGGCGGTGGGTACCTCAGAATCCAACAAAGCGCAGGAAACCTCCACGATCCCAGGTAAAATCTTAAACCTGCCTCAAAAATGCTGCTGGTTCTTGAGGAGGAGGATTCTTAAACCTCACCAGGGCAGTGCAGGGGGTAGGAGGGGAATGTGAGGGTCTCAACCCTTCTGGGTCAGAGCTGGCCTTGCCTCAGGAGCTGGGAGCCAGCAGCACACACGGGATCCTCTCAGCATTAATCCTGCTTAAGAATGGGACGGGACAAGTGATAAAAGAATAGAAATTCAGCAGGTTTCCAAAAACACATCTGCCCTGTGCCCTTCTGAAAGGCCAAGCTCCTTCCACCTTCACCACATCAAAGGATGCTGAGGTAACCCTGCAGGCCTGGGGGGAGGGAGCTGCTTGGAAACACCACACCTTTCAACCAGCTCCTTCCAAAAAAGTAAATGTTGCCAAGCCAAATTTACCGTAACTGCACCAAATATAGGACAGCTTCTCTTCAGAATTTCACAACAGAAAATGGGACATCAAAGGCTACAGATTTCCTCATTTTGCTTCTAGACACTTGCATTCTGTGTAAGCAGTATCTGATAGGGCTGGGAAGTCAAACAGAGACAGAAATCAGTGGGTCTGTGGGCGCACCACTGAATAACCCACCACATGTATCCCTCATGAGAAACAGCTGCCTGCTTCCATACATCTGGTCTCAGTCACCTCAAGGCTAAAGCTAAATATCCCCTCTATCTAAGCACCTAAAAACCAAAAATTGTCCAAGCAGAAAAGGAATGGACACCTACAAATACACCCTCACAAGGTGAAAAACGTCCAAGTCTGTAACAATGTGATAGTCCCAGTTTTTCAGAGCAGAGCTGCCTGCCTGCTGTGCATCCCAGCTGTGCACTGCACAGTTCCCAGATTGGTGTTGACAATCAAATATTTAGTGGGGCAGAAAGTGGGACAGCTTCAAGAGAGGAACCCGAGAGCTGCTCTGGGCCTCGCTGGGGTGCTGAGAGCTCTCCCTGTCGGTGGCCACGCTCTCTCCTTTCACCAAATCTGCCTCTTCGTGGGCAATTTGTCACAGAGGTCCCACGTGGGAATCCAGGGCGTCCCTCTGGCTGCCCTGGCAGGGGTCAGAACCCCCCTGGACAGAGCCCCCAGAGACACTGTCTGTGATCTCTGCCCATGGAAAAGAGTTTTCAATCTTACAGGATGAATTACCAGCTCTGAGTGTTTGATATGAGTAATAATTAAGTGTGGCACAGGTGCAAAAGTAAAATTTTAGGTTTCTAGATTAGGGGTTCAAAGGGGACAAGATGGAGGAAATTGGGTGTGTCTTGTCCTTTTCCTCCTTCTTCATGCCCTCCATGTTTCACTGTGGTGTTGGCATTTTTCTGTTGGTTCAGGCTGGGGACACACTGTCCAACGTAGGTGACAGATATTGGCACGTTATTGTAAATCCAGCACAGGTAGTTTGTGGTATTTAATGTTTGTACCATCCCACTGAGGGCAGAGCCCCACACGCTGCCCTGCAGGACAGAGCTGCGGCAGGGCAGCAGAACATGTTAGAGATAAACAGAATAAACAACCTTGAAACAGCACAGACCAATTATGGCTTCTGCTTTGGCAGCGGGGCTGACAGACAGAGACTTTTTACAACCTCGGGATTATTTAAATATCACAGATTCCGACAGTCCCACACGGACTTATCTCCCCTCTGCTCTGCCAGGTCCCACAAGCTCCTGGGAGCAGCTTCCCCACCAGCTGTCCCAGCCCCTGCAGCACAGAGGGAGAGTGGGCAGTGCCCGAAGCGCGGCCGGAGCAGCGCCACAGATACGAGGGGGCTCCCCAGACACCCCCAGGAGAGACCAGGGCGATGCTCTGGGCTCAGCTCCCTGCACAGCATCCACAGCCCCTCCTGGGCCTCTCTCAGCTCGGTGTAACCTCCCAGAGACGCTGCACCAGGGCACACGTGGCACTTGGCACCTGCCTCACGGCTGTGCCCGCTCTCCCTGCGGCCCAGGCAGCGCTGACACTCACCTGCTTTGGTTTTAGGGTTCTGAGGAGCAGCAGAGGAGCAAGGAAATCCTGGTGGAAACACCTGGGCTGGCTGCCCTGCAGAGGTACAGGAATAGCCCCCCATCCCCTGCCCTGTCAGGATCTTCCTCCTGTTTCATCACAGCAGGTTTAGTTCAGAGAGCTGAGTTGAGGAATGGACTTTCCCCTTTTAGACCTTAGTTAGACAAAAGGCCAAGTTTGGTCCTTTGGGAAAACCACTGAATTTTTCATGGCAAACATGCCATATTTTACATCTCTAACAAAAAGCTTCTGTTGTTCAAAATGTCACTTATTTATGTGAAAGTTTTCCCGACAGCAAGCCAAGGCCTAAGAGTTTGTAACCATTGAAGGAGCTCTTTGCAGTTCTATTAAATGGAGAACGCCTCCAGGAAACTGATGCCTGGGTGGGAGGTTTCACTAACAGCACTTTTCCACTCAGTCTTCTGCCAAGCCAAGACCCAAATAGCTAATGAAAAAAAAAAAAAACCCAAGCAGATTATTTTTAATCAAAGAAGTAGGACGAAGTACTTACCAGACAGCCCTGGTTTAAAATGAAAAAGCTAAAAAAGGCCATTAATTCTCTTCAAGGCACCTTCAGGCTGGGAAAGCACAGCAGCAGTTTGGGCAGTGGGTTGGTCTGGGTGCCCATGGTCAGAGGGGGCCTCATTCACCTCAAGGACATTCCCAAACATGAAAGTCCTCTCCCCTGGTCTGAGTCTCTGCCGCTGAGGGAGCTCGCTCCTGGGCTGACAGGCTCTCTGTCCCCAGGGTGAGGCCAGCACAGGAGGCTGGAGCTCCCATCTCTGCCTGCTGCACCCTGCGCGTCAGGTCCGAGAGCGGGGAGCGGACCTACGAGCTGAGGATGCTGCTCACGGACACCATCGGGGACCTGCGCCAGCACCTCACCCACATCAGGTAGCCCAGCACTCCCTCCCCACCTTGCCTGACTCTGTAGGACCCCTGAAAAGGGTTCTTGAGGTCCTGGAGCTTCAAACAGCAGCCTGAGCTGGGTCACAGCCCTGTGTCCACCTGACACTCTCCAGGCAGCAGTGCCAGGGCCCTGAGAAGCTCAGAGCATTTCATACCCACCTTTGCCACACAGCAACAGAGATGAACTTTTGTGCTCCCAAACCTGCCATCAGATCCAGGCCCACGGCTGCCTTTGCCTCCTTCCAGCACTCACCCAGCTGGTGCCACCCCTCCCAAGGTGGAAGCTGAGCCGCAGCCTTTGCTTTGTGTCCCAAAACATCCAACACTGCACAAGGGCTCCCTCAGCCTGTTGGGGACAGCTCCAGAAGGCTGAGGGCCCCCTTTGCTGTCCCCTCTTCCCACTCCTGCCGCAGGCCTGGCCCAGTGTGAGCCCAGGATGAGCTCAGTGCTGCTGGGATGCAGGAGCCTCCTTCCTCCCCACTGCAGCTGTGCAGCTGGCCACGCTGCAGTTTGGGCTGGAAGCCCTTTTTTCTGCTCTTGCATAACCACAGCTGGATCAGCCAAAGCACCTCAGCAAATCCTTGGGGAATCCCAGGAGTAGACGATTGTGCTGTTCTTTCCTAGGGGTGGAAACTCGGACTATGAGATCATCAGCACCTTTCCCCAGAGGGTGTACACCGACAGCTCCAGGAGCCTGCAGGAATGTGGGCTGGTCCCCAGGGCCTCTCTGCTGCTCCGCAGAAGAAACCCATCCCAGCAGGAGGGGAGGGGGCTGCAGACAGCCTGAAGTGCTCACCCCCAGCTCTGCACAGGGAGGGAGCTGCCTCTCAGCTTATCCGACCTGCCCCGGCTGGGAAAAAGGGAGAGGTTTTCTTTCCAGATTCAGTTTCACTGTGCCACTACCTGGGATGGAGAAGAGCTGGGAGCAGCCATTGGGCCACTCCCGTGGGCAGAGGGGGCCAGGCCCGGTCCTGCTGCCTCACAGTGGCTGCTGCTCCCCTGACAGCTGGGTCCCAGCACAGGGACACTTCCACCAGCTCCCCTGGGCTCCTCATCTCTGTGCAGGGCTACCCAGGCTGACCCCTGCCCAGGGGAGCCTGCCAGCCTCAGCCCAGCACCGGGCAGCTGCTTAGCAGTGCTCAGGGACTGGAGCAGCAGGATGGACACACAGCCAGGGGCAGTTTGTGTTCTGCACACAGCAGCTCCCTACAGATCTCACCTGCTCTGGCAGCAGGGGACAAACAGGCTCAGTTCCACGGCCTCTGCTGGAGCTAAACCTGAAGGCCTTGAGCCATTGCAGTGCTGGGGCTGAGCCAGGCTCGGCTCAGCCCTGCTCCTGGGTTTCCTGTACGTGCACAGCTCCTTCCCTTGGACAGCCCCCAGCTGCAGCGGCCCCGGCTCCAGCCTGCCTGGAGGTACCCGCCCTCCTCCTCCCGCTGCTGGATGCTGCAACAGGACACCGTGTCATTGGAGACAGCATAATCCCTCCGTGCTCTCTGCCCAACCCTGAACAAAGCATCTTCCTCCCCGTCCAGTGGGCTGGGGCTGCACTTTTCCTTTTTCCTTTCCCCAGCACATTCTTCCCATTCCAGCTGTGACAAGCTCTCACTTGACTCCCAGCTGACAACACTCCCACTCACACGAGGCAGGGCCTTCTGGCAGGTTCCCTCTCTGCACAGACCCAGCCCTCATTAAAGGTTCCCAATAAAACCCTTTATTTCAACTGCCATTTCCACTTCCTTTAGATTTCAAAGGCACGGTTACTGTGGAAGCTCAGAGCTCTTCCCAGACCCCTCTGACCAGAGCAGCACAACTCAAACACAGGAAGCAAACCAGCAGCTTCCACAGCTCCCCGTGAGCAGTGACTCAACCCACACAGCTCTCCCTCAGCTTCCTCCTTTTTCCACCTGTAGCACATTCAGGAGCAGCTGTTTCCCCTGCCCCTCTGTATCCTGGTCTAATCTTTGTGCCAAAGGTTTGTTTTGCACTCCCACGTCTGGCTGAGGCTGTCCCTGCCCCGGGCTGCCACTGTCACCAGGCAGAGGAGAGGAATGCTCTGGTACCTGTCACTGCCGTAGGACATTCAGACACGTCCTGGGAGCCTTTGATTAGCAGCAGCAATCTAGGGTGTTAAGATCTTTGTGTCAGGCTGCAGCAGCAGGTACAACCCACTCAGCTGGAAATGACTCACAATCCTTAGGGAGGGTGATGTTTAACCTGTAGCCAAAATAAAACCGAATTTAAAAGAAACGCAAGAGTAGCGCTGTGAAAGGTACAGTAACATTTAATAGCATCTCGGAAGACAACACTGGTTATAAACTTGCTTTTTGGCAGGAAAACAAAATGCACTTGGTCCAGGATTGCAAAAAAGCCAACACAAAGAGGAAAGCTGGGACAGCTGGAGCATCAGCTGTTCTGGGGCAGCCCTGAGCCATTAATGCTCACCAGGGAGCCTGGGCAGGGTGGAGGGCGGCCAGAGCAGCACAGATCCCACTTCCAGCCCCACCCATTCCCCAGGCAGCCTTCGCCCCCAGCTCCACCGTGGTGGGCACTCAGACCCAAATTCTGTGCAGTATTTTTGCATTAAATTAAGACAAAAAAAAAAAACAAAACAACACCCTTTACTTAGTTGCCATAATCTCTGCAGTTGAGATGAAGAGGGGGTAAAAGAGATAAAAAAACAAAAGAGGAAGTGAGGCAGCAGAATTTACAATTTTAACAGCAACTGGGAGAAGTGGGAAGTACCAGGCAGCCCCGAGCCCTTCCCTGGCGAGGCAGGGGAGGGGGCTGAGGGCCAGGATCACCTCGCACAGCCCCGGAGGCTTTGCTGTTTACAGAGGCACTGGAAGCTGCCGTGAGCCAGGCCCAGCTCTGCTCACAGCCCAAGCAGCGAGCGTCACGCTTTCTTTGGATCCCTCCGAGATGATTCCGGGGTAGGCAGGAGGGAGTCGGAGGCAGCTGCAATGAGGAGTTTTGGTCATGGGTTTTTCCCTGTGCTGGGATACAGGTGGTGGTGCCAGGACAGTGCTGACAACCCGGAGGTGAAGGTGGTTGGAGATGAGGGCGCTCAGGAATGCAGGTAGAGTCCAGGACGGGAGGGGAAGCAGGGCTCAGGCCAACTTCAGGAACTCCTGCAGAGTGTTTTGCTCCACCGCTTCCACAAAGAGCTCGTAATCCTGCAGGGAAACGCCACACGGTCCTCAGGAGGGGCCCTGAGCCCATGGCACAAACTGGTCCACAGCCCTGGCACCAGCTGCTTGTGCCAAGGATGACAGGACGAAGCGGGCACAGCCCCACTGCCACCCAAAGCCCCGCCTGGGTCCCCTTTTTCCCCGAGGCAAACAGCCGTGAATCCTGGCAGCACCTGGTCCCTGCACCTCACAATAAACAATTTAAAAAGCATCCTGAACACGAGCAGCCAAGCCTAGGACAGGACACCACCCACCAGCCACCCCAGGGTGCCAACTGGGCACGAGCCTCACCCCGCAGTACTGGTCCCCGTTGACGATCTGGGGTGGGATGGCTTTGGGGTTGCCTGCCTTCGCCCTCATCTCCTCCCGCAGAGCGTTGTCCTGGGAGATATCCACCAGCTCGTACTTGATGTTCTTCCCGTCAAGGATTCGGGTCACCTCGCTCTGCTGGGATTTGATCTGGAAGGCGGGTGGGAAAGGCGGGTTACGGGGAGATGGAGCCCGGAGGGTGGGCACACACCCAGCTGCTCAGCACGGTGCCACCCCGCCGGCGTGGGGACAGAGGGGACACCGGGGATGGGGCGGGGGCTCCGCCGCTGCACGGAACAGAGCCGCCCGCCCCCGTTCGCGGCCCTGCCACGGGCGCTCACCTCCCGGGAGCCGGTCACCGAGGTGCTGTAGACCTTGAGGGTGCTCATGGTGCTATCGCGGCCGCTCCCAGCGCCAGCCCGGCCGAGGGAGGAGGGAGGGAGCGGGGAGGGACCGGGCAGGCTCGGCCCGGCGGGGCTCGGCGGGAGGGAGGGACGGGGGAGGAGCGGCGGCGCCGCATGTGACCGCGGGCGCCAATGGGGCCGGCGGGCCCGGGCATGCGGGATCGGCGGGGCCGGCCCCGGGCACCGCCCCGGCGGGTACCGGGGAGCGCCGGTACCGATCCCACCGGGCACCGGCACCGCCCCGGCGGGTACCGGGGAGTACGGGCACTGCTCCCACCGGGCACCGGCACCGCCCCGACGGGTACCGGGGAGTACGGGCACTGCTCCCACCGGGCACCGGTACCGGCCCGATGGGTACCGGGGAGCACCGGCAGCGCCCCCGATGGGTACCGGCACCGCCCCGGTGGGTACCGGGGAGTACGGGCACTGCCCCAATGGGTACCGGGGAGTACGGGCACCGCTCCCACCGGGCACCGGCACCGCCCCGGCGGGTACCGGGGAGTACGGGCACCGCTCCCACCGGGCACCGGCACCGCCCCGATGGGTACCGGGGAGTACGGGCACTGCTCCCACTGGGCACCGGCACCGCCCCGATGGGTACCGGCACCGCCCCGATGGGTACCGGGGAGTGCCGGCCCGATGGGTACCGGGGAGTACGGGCACTGCCCCGATGGGCACCGCCTCGATGGGTACCGGGGAGCGCCGGTACCGATCCCACCGGGCACCGGCACCGCCCCGGCGGGTACCGGGGAGCACCGGCACCGGCCCGGCGGGTACCGGGGAGCACCGGCACCGGCCCGATGGGTACCGGGGAGCACGGGCACCGATCCCACCGGGCACCGGCACCGCCCCGATGGGTACCGGGGAGTACGGGCACCGATCCCACCGGGCACCGGCACCGCCCCGATGGGTACCGGGGAGCGCCGGTGCTGCTCCCACCGGGCACCGGCCCGATGCGTACCGGGGAGTACGGGCACCGATCCCACCGGGCACCGGCACCGCCTCGATGGGTACCGGGGAGTACGGGCACCGATCCCACCGGGCACCGGCACCGGCCCGATGGGTACCGGGGAGCACGGGCACCGATCCCACCGGGCACCGGCACCGCCCCGATGGGTACCGGGGAGTACGGGCACCGATCCCACCGGGCACCGGCACCGCCTCGATGGGTACCAGGGAGTACGGGCACCGCTCCTACCGGACACCGGCACCGCCCCGATGGGTACCGGGGAGCGCCGGCACCGCCCGACGGGTACCGGGGAGCACCGGCACCGCTCCCCACCCAGGAGAGCCTGGCGCGAGTGGGTCAGAGCAGCTTTATTTGATATTCCAAGTACTCGATACAAACAAGCGCCGAGACAGAGGCTGGTACAAAGACACCGAGCCCAACGGGACCGGGCACAACACGGGAACGGGGGGACGGGGAGGAAACGCTGTCTGTCCCCCTGGCCTGGGGTGTTCTGTAGCTCAGGGCACAAGATTTCCCCTGCACCAGCAGCAGACAGCACACGGGATCACCCTCTGGCCAGGAGGATGAGGAGAGGACATGTGCCCATGGAGGGACACGGGAGCTGGGCAGCCCAGCTGCTGAGGTGGTTTCAGCCACAGTAATCTCATCTCAGAATCACCTCTGCAGGGGCAGAGGGCAAACCTGGCCCCTCACAGCACCCATGAACGAGATCTTGCACCCCCAAAGCAAAGGGCAGAAGGAGATGGTGCCCAAACCGCCTAAGAACCTGCAGGAGCCAGCAGAGCTCCCGGCAGTCAGGACAAACAGCTTTAAAAACAGCCCTGGAAATGTGCTTTGCTCAGTACACAGCACCAGCAGCCTGGGGACAGACACAGCCAGGAGCAGAACACCAAGGAGAGCGGGACAGACAGACAGACAGACACTGCTGCATGCTCCCTGTGTGGGACAAACCAACCACTTCCTGGCCACCATCCCCCGTGGTAGCCAAACACCGAGAACAGAACAGATTTGGTCTTAAAATTTTAACACAAAGGAATAACAAAAGCATTTCTGCCAAACCCAGGGCTCACAGCCCCAGTGTGAACCAAGAGCAGCCAAAGAACACAAATGTCAGCAGGACTTTTCCTTGCCACAACTTGGTACCTTGCTCTTAAGATGAAAACCCAAGTTCCACCCTCGGGCTCAGTACTGTAAAGCTGTCACTGGGGTTAGGGAGGGTGGTGGTGCAGTGAAACTGATCCCTCCGTGATCCATTTAGAAACCTCATTACTTGCAGAGGAGAAGAAAGGAGGGACAGGGCTGTGACAAAGCCCAAGTGGCCACTGCCCTGCAGGAAGAACTCCCTGTGCCACCCCCTCCACATCAGGACCAGTATGGCTTTCTCCCAGTAAAACAGAGGCGTGTCCCCAGGGCACAGAGGCTCTTGGAGGCTCTGGCAGGGGCCACAGACACTTGGAGCTCCCCAGGATTGTTTGTGATGGCTCTAAAAGGCTGCGAGAGGGAAGAGCAGCCCCTCACCTGCCAGTGGATGCATTAGGCACGGAGCAGAGTGGGGGCAGAAGGTTCTTCCAGCTCATTAAGGCACTTCAGCATCAATCCTCTGCAGTCTGAATCACTGCCCACTCCCAGTGCTGTTTCAGGGGGACAAAAGGCTTAAGGCTTCTGGGGTAACAGTGCCCAGGGGGATCATTTCCAGTCTTTTAGTGTTGCTTTATTCCTCAACTCATGCTGGCTAATGAAAGACCCTGGTTGCATTACCTGAGGAAAGCAGGTCCTGCTCCAGCAATCCAAGGCAGTAGCACCTCGATGTAAATGCCAGGAGTGGAACTGGCACACCTGCCTGCCTGTGGAATCCAGATTTCCCACAAACACTCTGACAACTCCCTGGTCCCACAGGACCTGCACAGGGAGGTTATCAGCAAGACCAGGGCATAGATTTCCTTTTAGCCATTATTTTAACCGTCACACTTGCATGTTCAGCATTTGACACGCCTGGAAGGCAAGTCAGAATTCATCTCCCAGCTCCAGAGACCACAGCAGCTCCAGTAAACACAGTATAAAACACATTCCACAAGATCAAAGCTACTGCAAAGCCTGACACTGAAGCCCTGAATTATCCCAGTCAGCAGCTGAACACTTCTGGCAACAAACCCCCTGATTCCTCACAGATCAGATAAGTCACACGTCCTGTACCCGAGCAGTGGGGTGGTAAAGTGCTGAATAGGTTTAGGGTTGTAGGAGCACAGACTCCTGAGAGTTTCAAGTCTTCATTCCCTGTCTTACTTTGGGAGTGTTCTTTACTGGGTGATGCAGTTGTCTCCCATGTCCTGAGCGTATCTGTCAGATATTGCAGTCCTCAAGTCCTCCACCTCTTTGTGAAGCTGTTTTACCTCCACCAGTTTCTTGGCCAGTCCGTCGGGGCTGAGCAGGTCATCCTTCTCCTTCACAGGGTGCTGCACAGCTGTGGGGTCAGAGAAGGGAGTTTCCTCACATGCAGTTCTCAGCAAGGATCACACACATTTGCAAATCAGCCAGAAAAACCAACTCACATTTGCAAAAGAGGTTCTACTTAACATTCAGTTATCACAACATGCACCTTTGAAACAAACCAACCACAGAAAGAGCATTCAGAAGCCCAGGAAGAGCCCTTTCCATGCTCTACGTGAGTTATTTAGTTCTGCCACAGCACAGGAACAGAAGGGTTTGTTCTGCCATCTCTCAAAAGGAAATGTACTTACAGTGAATGCCCAGGAGCAGAGAGAGGTTGGGGTCCTTGCCCTGAGCCCTCTGGGTGACGATGCTGTAGACAGACTGCAGATCCTGCAGGCAGCTGGCCAGCTCCCCGTGCAGCTCCTGGGCCAGGCGGGCTGTGTCAGCAGGCAGGGGCTGGGCTGTCAGCTGGGCCTGCCGGAGCCGCTCCTGCAGCGTCAGGTTCTTCTCGATCAGCTCCTGGTTCTGCATGGACAGCTGGACACACGGACAGGCACCTCAGGGGCTGCCACACTGAACACGCCTGCTTGGGGCAGGGAGCAGGAGGGGGTGGGTCTCAGAGTCAGTCAAAGAGAGAAATGAGAGTTTCTAGCCAGGCAGAAGCCTGGGAAAGAGCTGGAGAATAACATAAATAATTCTCTATCTCTCTTGTTGTTCACATTGTTTATAGTTAAGTTCTATCACTGTGCATCAAGCACTGTGCACCAGTGGTGTGGCTTGTTTTCACTTCAGGACCAATGGAGTTGGTCCTCACGAAGCTCTGTATAAAAGAGCGGGGTATTTTGAATAAACCAGAGTTTTACTCTCAGCAGCCTTCTGATCAGAGTCTCTTCATTCCTGTCCTGCCTCAGCAGCGACAGGAGGGCAGGAGCTGTTTGCATCCAGCCGTGGCCACAGCAGCCAAAGTCATTGCCACACGGGGCTGGGCCCAGCAGGGAGGGCCCCGTGGAGCTGCACGCTCCCTGCCCCAGTGCAGTACGAGTTCCTGCAGGTGCTGCACCCCAGCAGTGCTCCTGCTTGCCTCGAGGGCCGAGGCTGAGCTTGGGCTCCTGTGCTGCTGCCCTCAGCCTCCTCCATCCCATCCCATCCCCATGAAGCTCCCGAGGCACAACCTGTTCTCCTGCTTCCCAGCAGGGCACAGCTCCTCTCCCAGCCCTGACAGGAGAACGGACTAGCAGGAAGCAGGAGAGGTTGAGCTGCTGACTAAATTCAGGGCCTTGCTCAAACACAATCCATTGTTGGATCAGTGCTACACCCAGGCACTCCAAACACCCCCTGACCTCTTTGACGGCAGCCCGGAGCTGCTGCAGAGCATTTTCCCTTCTCATCGCCTCCTCTTTCAGAGCTTGGCTTGTCCCCTCTTCCTGGGCCACCTGTTCTTGCAGGTTCTGGAACAGACCACGGGAACACAGTAAGTCTAACTCATTTCACAGCATGTTCTCAAGTCCCGGGTCCCTCCCCGTCGCCTCTCACCTTGACTTGCAAGGATAACTGCTCCATCTTCTTCTGCTTTTTGTCCACAATCTGGAATTAAAAGCAGAGGCATCAGAAGTGGCCACCCAGATCCAGTAATGCCACCAGGAATTCTCTTTCAGAGGACAGCATCTCCTCTCCTTCTCTTTCCTGTCCGTTTACTGCTCTAATCACACTCTTAGGAGTGGACTTGGATAAAAGGCAACATTAGATTTACCAGCTAAAACCAGACATTGTATTCTTGTGGTTTTCCTCTCCCCTCTTCTGCATTCTGCAGCTTCTCCACAGCATTACTGGAGAAGTGTGTGGTTATCACATCAAGAACAGCTTTTGGAACCCCCCTGCAGTCTGGAATTCCAGGAACTGCTGCTTCAGTGCAATTGTGTCTTTAAAAGTCCCCGATTTCATCCGAGTGCCTGGTGTGACTCAGTGGAAGGAGAAGTGTGTGATTCCTGACTGGGATGGCCCCTCACCTTCCTGAGGCAGTCACACTCCTTCTTCAGAGAGTCATGTTCCATTTTCTGCCTCTCCCCATCCTGGGCAGGGGGTCCTCTCTCTGCATTCTTTGCATACTGCTGCAACTTGTCCTGCAAGCTGCAATTAGCAGAACACCATGAGGAAGAAACAGTTTCATTTACCATCTCTCCCTTACTTTAAGGAGGGAAACAATACGAGGAGTAAAATTAATTTCATGTCAAATGTCAGCGTTGCCCTGTTTCAGTCCCAGCCCACCACCTGCCAGGGCTGTGCAGCACCCTCCTGGTGCAGCACCTCCTGCAGTGTCAAGATGAAGCTGATTGCTCCTTCCTACCTGTGCACAGTGGACAGAAGCTCCATCTCCTTGTGCTTTTGGGTTTCCAGCTGCAGCTCTTGCTCCCTGAAAGCAGCCTGGACATCTCCAAGCTCTGTTTCCAGTGCCAGCACTGTTTCCTGCAGGGCAGTGGTCTTCAGCTCAGATTCCTTCAGCTGCAACAAAGGGGAGTAGATGTAACTACAGAAAAGTCACCTGAGCAAGTATGTCAAGAGCCAGCATTGCAGCTCAGAGGAAGTTTTACCTTCTGACTCTGTTTCTGGTGCTCCTCAAGGGTTGGCAGATCAGCCAGGTATCGTTCCAGGGTCTCAATTCTCTGCTGTCTCTCTCTGTTTTGTTCAGATTCCTTCTGGCATTTCTTTTTAAGGTTATTAATGTGTTTGTCTCTTCCCTTTACCTGCAGGGACAGTTAACAAGTTTATTTTATATTATTTCTTATTTATTCTTCAGTCTTCTGTAAGCCCACTCATTTAGCTTTTTGCACACCACACAATGCCAAAATACAAGATCCCCTTAACTCATATCTGCTCATTTAGCTAAAGACAGGCATTTTTTTGGTTAAAAGAGGAGGCACTGAAATGCTTCTAACTGCAGGAGGAAAGGCTTTTGCTTGGAAACCATAGTCTACAATGAGATGAGAAAACACCTGCAGTTACAGACCACCACAGAAAAGTTCCACCTCAGCACTGCACTGACAAGAAAGCACACCTTCCCATCTCTAGAGCAACAGGATCATACCCTTTCTTCCTGTTTCTTCAACTCCTCTGCATGTTTCTGCACCGTCTCCTTCAGGGACTCCCGGACCAGCTTCACATCCACCTCTGCAGCAGCCAGCTTCCTCTCCAGCTCAATGTTCTCCTTGCTGAGGGACTCTGTCTTCTCTGTGAACTGTGCTCGGAGGAAGGTGTTCTCCCGCTGCAGCTCCTGCAGGCACAGACAGCCCCTGAATTTGGGGGGTACAAACTGTCCAGGGCTGTGTCCTCATCCTTCCCAATCCCCAAACATCCCTCAGCCTCAGCTGAAACACTCTGAAACGGCACCTGGCAGTGCTGCCAGGTGTTGGCATCACCAGCACAGCTTTAATCCAGCCAAAGGAAACCTCAGGGGGCACAGAGGTGATGGTAACTCCACACAAGGGATAATTTATCTTTTAACTCTGCACAGTCCTGCTCAGCAAACACCTCAGCAGCAGCCTGGGCCATTGGATTCAGCAGCTGTTTCTCACTGGCACCTGCTGTACCTGCATTCTCAGCATGTAGACGTCTCCATAGGAGGCTGGGCAGCCCAGCAGGGCACTGTGAACCTGCAGCTCACTCTCCCGGACCTTCTGCTCCAGCTGGGAAATGTGCTGCCTCTGTCTGTAACAAAACAGGCAATTCACTGTTCTCAAACATAGAGAGCAGCAGCACAACACCAACAGAGCCAGCACAGCGCTGCTGCTCCACACAGGGACAATAAAGGTGAACACTTTGACCGTTTTTACAATTCTTACTAACTTTTCTTCCCTTCCCTCACTTCAAAACCCTTCCCCTAACCATGATTACAGATAAAACACATAAGCCTTGCATGTTTTGGAGGATCCAGCTTGACTCTGGAGCTTAGCAGTGAAATGAACACACAACAGATGACTCAAAATAAGGAAGAAAATGTATTTACAGTCCATGTGTTGAAGGTACTTTTCATTAGGACTTACTTTTTCAAAAGCTTTGTGCACTAGCCTTAGATAAATGTTGTTTGTCAGTCTCAAGTCACAAAGACCAAATTTAAAATAAAGGTCTCAAAGAGCACACAGAAAGTCCTTAAGCAAAAGAAGCAGTTATTTTGACATTCTAGATAATCATGATGTGAGCAGAAATTTTTATCCCCTATAAAACACTGAAAACCATAAGTAAAATTAATTTATTTGAGCCCTTCAGGATCATTGTCCTAATTCCAAGGAAAGAAGAGCAGAAGAGCCCAGGTTGTTCTCTAAGATCCTTATATTGTTCTTTGCAACAAAACAAGATCAACTGGGCAAAAGGGAATCTGAGAAATGAGCCTTCCTTGGTACTTCCCAAACCTTCCTTTCCAAGTGGAGAGGGACTGGAGTCTTTAAACCACATGTCAGCATCAAAGCCTCACCTGTCAATGAGGAGCTCTTTCTCCTTGAGCAGGTTTTCATTGGAGTTCAGGATATTGATCCACTGAGCTGGGTCAGGTGCAGGCAGGGATGTGGAATACATGGAGGAATGGGGGCAGGTGCCTCCATTTTGCAACTGCAAGAGGAGACAAGACAAGGAGGGAGAGGTCTGTGCCCCACAGGGGTGGTTGCAACACTGCTGCAGCTATTTTGCACACTGTGTGCTCATCTGCATGCCAGGGCAGGGCTATTTCAGTCTCTGTTGATGTCCAAGAACAAGAAACTTTGCCCAAGCACAACTGGAGATTAACAAATAATTTTAGATCACTGTGCTAGCTCGCTGGAAACAATTTGTCTCCATGAGGTACAGCTGGTGGGAGGGGGTAAACAAACCATTTCCACCTTATAAGCTGCAGCTAGTTTCATGCATTTTTTCAATAAAGTCTTTCTTAACCCTAGATACAGAATAAAGCCATTCCAGACGCTGCTTAACACCTCTTGGCATGCTTTTTCTTCCAGTTTCTATCAGGCAGGGTATTTCAGCTCTTGATCTGGCAGGTGGAGCAGCTCTGTAACATAACCCAGGGCTGCTCTGCACACACAGCGTGTCAAACGATACCTGTGACACCACAAGCTGCAAAAACAGACCATTAGGAGACTTCTGCTGCCACTCAGGGAGAAGCAGGAGACATTTTCCCCCTGGATCTGGGACACAACTCCTGACTACAGAGACAGGAAAGGTTCCAAACTCACACAGTCACAGCTGCCTACCTGCATCTGCTCCACCTGCAGCCGCACTTTGTCCAGCTGCTGCTTCCAGGCACTGAGCTCGCAGGCTCCCTGGTGCAGCGTGCAGCCCTCCTGCATCCACGCCCGGCCTGGGGGAGCTGCTCCAGCTTTGGAATAGAAGGTGCTGGCCTGGAGTCCCGCTGGCACCAGCCTGCTGCCGCTGGGCCACGGCCCGTCCCGGGGCTCGCAGCCTCCGTTGGCCCCCGGCGCCTGTTTGCTCTCTGGCAGCACCTTGTAATGGTCCTTGCCCGCCTCAGGGCTTGGGCTGAACTTGTGGCACCTGTGCAGAGGGTCGGTGCACAGGCTGTCCAGGAAGAGAGACTGGTTAAGGGTCTGCTCGATGGCAGGGGTGTCAAACTTCCAGGCGCCCTCCGTCCTGGCGTGCTCGCAGCCCCTGTCCCCCGCAGCCCTGCCGAGGCGCAGCAGCTCCCTGGGTGGCACCTGAGAGGACTTCCCGGCGTTCAGGTCCCCGTTCCTGGCGAGCCCCGGGCGGTCAGGGGCAGAGCCTGGCCCTGCAGAGCTCTGGGAACAGCCCTGGTCCAGCTTGGAGGGCGAGGCGCCCAGCGTGGAAGGCATAACGTGGGCTGTCGGAATGGTCACCTGGGTTTTGATGGGATGGAATGAGGAACCGCTACTGGAATTGCAGAAGTCTAGGGGAAGAAGAAAAGTGATCATCTAATTACAGTCCTGAAAACACAATCCTCCAGTGAGCTTTCCAAAACGATTTTAAAACCAGTTCCTTTCCCACTGAACATGTCCACTGAGCAGCAGCATGACTCAGGCACACTTGTGTTCCCCCTCGCTACAAGTTTCAGGAACCTGCTGACCTTTTCCTACCGCCATAGGAAGAATCTGAGTTTAATCCCTATTTTTAATCCTTGTTTTAAGCTACTCTAGTATAATCTTGACTCAATAATGTTATCTTTCTCTAGGTTTAGAAATCAAGTCCTTGCTACTGAATAAAAAGGCTGAAACTTACTGATCTGAACACTGAGCCCGTGATCCTGCTCTGCCCGTCCCGCAGCTCAGCAACTCCAGAGCGTGAGCAGAGCTAACAGGAGCCTTCCCTGAGCCCATGGTGAGCCTCCAACATCGCTGACCCCGAGGATCTGACCTTCCAGCTCCTCCAGGACACCAGAGCAAGAGCCTGTCCCAGAGCTGGAGCAATGGCTCTCACCTACGGCCACAGGAAGTGAGACAGGGCTCCCGTCCTGCCAGCGGAGCACCAAACCTGGCTGCAGGAACTCGGGGTTATTCTTAGCAACTCTCAGATTTCCATACAGCAACAGCACGGGCTGAGAAAGGCAATCAGTGCCTGTTCCCACTCCTTGTCCCGAGACGTTCTGTGTCGCAGAACTCCAGGTTTCTCCCAGGAACACACACTTGATTTCCTCATGGCTTTGGCCAAAGGCCCATCCCCACGTGATGCTCCAACAAGTCACCCTCCCACCTGTTTGTACCCTCCAAGCACTGCTACAACAGTGAATAAACACCACCACTTGAGTACAGCCCAAATCAGACTCTGCAAAGACCAAAATCACACCACAGGACAAACGTCACAACAAAGACACTCAATCCTTTCATCACAAATGAGCAGTGAGGGCAGGAAATCTCTCAGCCACAGCTTGGCTGTGCCTGGGGACTCCAGAGAACACCGTGCTACTGGGCAGCTGCAAGCACCTTCACCTTGGCAGAGGGAAGAGACAGCACCATTTCCTTTTACAGCCCCTAAATTTATCCCCTGGCGTCACTGTCAGGGACCAGAGTTCCCCGACCAGCACGTCACGTGGGGGTGCTGCAATCAGCTCCTGGAGTGTGCTGAGGGTCCTCACAAGAACATTTCTGACTAATGTACTGAGCTCAGCGTGCCTCAGCAGCAGCCAGGGCTGCGGGTCACCCTCAGCTCTCACAACACGGCTGGGACATCACCAGTGCCCAGAAGGGTCATTTCCCAAAGGAAACCATCTCCCCTGCCCCCAGCTGCCAAATGGCTGTTTTGTTATCCTGATGGAACACTTAAACATCTGCTCCTGTAATATTTATAGCAATCCTCCTAACAGCCAGACCTGCTAAAGCCTCCATTTCACTGGCACCTTACTGAGATCTACAGCTCATTCCAAAGGCTCCCTGAACACAGGGATGTGTGAAGTGTTTTAGGGAACACCACAAAGTCCCTCACTACTGAAAAGATAATCAATAAAGGTGAAATAAAACAGGTGGAAAGGATTGCTAGGACCAGAAATTTCACAGAGTGCCTCAGTTGAAGGTCAGGCTGCAGAGTTCTCAGCTCTAACACTGCAGAAGCAAACACTTCTGCACAAAGGCACCTACAAATTATTTCCTTAAAAAAAAAAAATAAGAAAACACTCAACAGACTTGCTGATAAATCTCTCATTGGACAACAAGAGCCAGCAAGTCACCAAGGTGACTTTTAGTCAGTTAAAAGCCCTGCAGAGAGACAATAACCAAGCTCAGGGAAACAGCCAGTGCCCTCCTCACTTGGTTACATTCCAGACATCTGGTTTGAAACGGCTGCAGACACGGTGGCAAGCTGTGCCCTCCAGGTTTCTGTGACCCAGCAGTGCCCATCACCTTCGGTGCTGTCCGAGCAGGAGGTGCCAATGCCCCCATCCCCGCTCTCGGCCACGCTGGGACAGCGGCTCAGGGACCCCAGGGACCCCATCGGTGTCTTCCACTCACTCTCCAGGAACCTGCTCTTCTGACAGGTGCTGGGGTCTGCAGAGGAAAAGCAGGGATATTTGTGCTTTAATTAAGCCATGTGTAATTACCAGCACCTCCAAGCTGGTCCTTGCTTCGCTCCCTGTGTTCCCGTTAAAAAAAAATCTTTCGCAAAAGGAAATGGCAGGAAGCACAGGGAAGTGAAATAACATCAACAGGAGGCTGAAAAACAATCTTGGTAAGGGAGTCAGACTGCAGAAGCTGTAAATTATATTCCCATTGATTAGTTTGGTCATGTTACACCCAGCTGGTGCTCTAAAACGAGCAGTAGCACAGCAAATTTGGGCAAGTTAAAAAGATATTTTTGCATTTACTCTAAAGAACTCTCCCAGATTCATCAGCTATCAGCTCAGGGGAGAAAGTCCTTATCAAATAACTGCTGAAAAAGCAGGCAAGGGTAGAAAATAAAGACTTTTTTGAACAAAAAAGCTTGTGGCAGAGAATCTTCTGAGGGCCACGTGTCTCCTCAGAGAAAGTGAAACAGGATCCAACAGCAGCAGGGCTTTGGAGAAAGGACTGTTCTTACCTGATGGATTCTTCTGTAGGAGCCTCAGGTCTGGATCTTTCTCAGGAGCAGCCATCTAATCTATTTAGAGAACTGGATAAATGAATAAAAATCTTATTTAAGTGAGTATAATCCACACCCCTTCCCCCCTAACCAAGCAAAGGGTACACACAGAGCAGCTACTCATCAGAGTAACACAGCATTTAATATTTAATTAGCTTCTTCTCCCAATAATATCTCCAGCAACACTTAAAAAAACCCAAAAAACAAACCCTTGCAGATTTTATTTATGCCTGAGAAAGGAGAATTCCTGTTTGCACCATTCTCCAGGTATTCAGCAGCACCTTCCAGCTGTTATCCCCAAGGCGGGTATTCACAGAGCGGTACCTGCAGGCTGAATTTGTGTCTACAGAGACTAAAAATTTCTCTTTAAAACTCTTCACTCCCAACCAGATCATTTCTGCCCTCTGTAGAGGTCACTGAGCAACTACACGAGGAAAAAAGTCCTTCAAAAATCAGCCTTTCTGTGCCATGAATAGCAACCATTATCTGCTCAGAGTTTAGGGTTAATGTATCTTTTCTCTGAGTGCTTCAGACAGTGAATTTCCTCTCTTTGATAATGCAGGTGCAATTTATATCCACACAGTGGAAACTCAATGCCCCTACAAAGCCACACCCAATCCCCACTCAGCAGCTCTTATGGATTTTTGTTAAACTGATTCAAGGAGCTCAGAGAAGACAATAATTCCTAGAAAACATTCACACACGCAGATGTTACAACCTAGCAGAAACACTGGGAACACAACACCATAACGAAGCAGAAACAGCGTTTTACCCAGCAAAGAAATGAATCACTCCTGCACCAATGCAGTGCTTATTATGGGTCATTCAGGTGAGCCCATTTAGGCAGTGCGGGCTGCGGGGCACGGCGGCACTGCCGGTACCGGTGCCGGAGCCCAGTGGCAGTGCCGGTACCGGTGGCAGTGCCAGAACCCGGTGGCACTGCCGGTACCGGTGGCAATGCCGTGTGGGGCGGGTTCCCGGTGGCAGTGCCGGTACCCAATGGCAGCGCCCGGTGGCGGTGCCGGTACCGGTGGCAGTGCCGGTACTGGTAGCACTGCCGGTACCTGGTGCCGGTGCCCAGTAGCAATGCCCGTACCCGGTGCCGGTGCGCGGTAGCAGTGCCGTACCGGTGGCAATGCCATGTGGGGCGGGTTCCCGGTGGCACTGCCGGTACCCAATGGCAGTGCCCGGTGGCACTGCCGGTACCCGGTGGCGGTGCCGGTACCCGGTGGCAATGCCGGTATTCGGTGGCGGTACCCGGTGGCAGTGCCAGTACCCGGTGGCAATGCCTGTGCCCAGTGGCACTGCCGGTACCAGTGCCAATGCCGTATGGGGCGGGTTCTCGGTGGCAGTGCCGTACCGGTGGCAGTGCCGTGTGGGGCGGGTTTCCCGGTGGCACTGCCGGTACCTGGTGCCGGTGCCCAGTAGCAATGCCCGTACCCGGTGCCCGGTGCCGGTGCGCGGTGGCAGTGCCGTACCGGTGGCAGTGCCGTGTGGGGCCGGGCCCTGTCCCTCACCTGCCGCCGCCGCCGCCGCGCCTCTCCCGCCACCGCCGCGCGCCGCGACCGTTACCGCCGCCGCCGGGGGCGGGGCCACAGCGCGCGGGGCGGGGCTTCCCGCCGCCTCAGCCAATCGACAGCTCCGGCCACACCCTTAGCGATGCCTCATTGGCTCGCCTGGACGCTGTCCCCGCCCCCGCCGCTGCGGGGCAAGAGTGGCCGCGGGCGGCACCCGTAGTGCGGGCGTGAGGGGAATCAGCCCGGGGTGATGGCGGAGCCGTCAGGACAGAGACAGACGAGATTAAACCACCTCAGGCTGCACATCGGGAGGGATTTCTTCATGGAAAAAGTGGTCAGGCACAGGCGGGCCGGGGCGGTGGTTGAGTCACTGTCGCTGGGAGTGTGCAAGAACACGCGGATGTGGCGCTGGGGGACGCGGTTTAGAGGTGCAAGCGGCAATGCCGGGGTTACAGCTGGACGCCGTCACCTCGGAGGTCTCTTCCAGCCTAAACAATGCCGTGATTTGATGATTTCAGCGCCAAGGAAAACCACGGCACGCCCAGGCCTTGTCAGCACGTTTATTTACAGCAGGAGAGCCCATGGCTGGGCCGGCTGGCAGCACCGCAGCAGGGAATGAAAATCCCCTTTGCCAACCCGCAGCCAAGGTCAGGAACAATTAAGACTGTCACTTAAAAATTAAGGAGCCGGATCCCCTGCGCGGTGGCCTCTGTGGGGGCTGAGCCTTCCAAAACATGACATGTTGACATATTGAGGAACACAGGACGTGTTCAAACCCCCCGGCACAGAGCGCCCAGCGTGCCCCGAGTGCTGCGGGCACCGCCCCACGCCAGGCCCGGGCGGGATCAGGGCTCAGCTGCCTCTCCGTGCGGGCTGTGCTGGTCTCCAGCACCGCCCTGCTGCCCTGCCCAGCCCTCCCGCAGCTCCTGGTACAGCTCCTGGTGCTCCTCCTTCCAGCGCCTGAAGGTGTCCGAGGTGAGCGCGGCCTCTCCCAGCAGCTGCTCCAGCGCCTGCAGCTCCGCCAGCTTCGCCTGCCCGGAGCAACGCACGTTTTGTGGGGGCGGCCGCGGGCGGGGGGCTTTGGGAGGGGGCTGCGGGCTCGCACCTTGAGCGTGCTCTGCAGGGCCCGCACGGCGTGCACCCTCTCGTTGATGTGCGGGTTCCTGTTGCGCCGCAGGAAGGACTTTCGGCACTGCTCCTGCGTCAGGGCCCGCCGCTGCCCCGTGAGGGACACGCCGCCCTGCCTCAGGCACCGCGCCAGGCTCTCCAGGTCCTCCCCGGCGGGGTCTGGGCGAGGACAGGGGGCACTGGAGCAGGAGGGCAGCCCCGAGACCCAGCGGGCTCCCCCGTGCATGGCCCTGCCCCAAAGGCATGGGATCATGGAGTGGTTTGGCTCAGAAGGGACCTTAAAGATGATTTTGTTCCACCTCTGCCATGGCAGGGACACCTCCCACTGTCCCAGGTGCTCCAAGCTCCATCCAACCCGGCCTTGGGCACTGCCAGGGATCCAGGGGCAGCCACAGCTGCTCTGGGCACCCTGTGCCAGGGCCTGCCCACTCACACAGGGAACACTGTCCTTCTAAACCCACTCTTTTTAGTTTAAATCCATTCCTCCTTGCCCTGTCACTCTGTGTCATTAAAAAAATCCCTCTCCATCTTTCCTGTAGTCTCCACCCCGAGATGGTTCACACCCAAACACACCCCAACTCGAGTCACCCCCAGCACGCCCAGGGGCAAAAGGGAGGGACAGGAGGTGACAGGGGTCAGATGTTCCCCCTGCACCTACCCATGGGGGAGCAGGGCCGGGGGCTGCCCTGGGGGCTGCTGGCTGGGGAGAGCTGTGCCTTCTCCACGGTGTTCTGCAGCCTCTTCCTTGGCTGAGGGAGAGGTGGGCAGCAGGTGAGACAAGGAACTGTCCCTCTGTCCCCAAGGTGTCCCCCAGGGCCACTCACCGAGTCAGATCCGTGCCTGGGGGACTCATCATCGGGGTCCTCAGCTTCTGTCTCGCTGTAGCAGTCTGGAGGCCGTGGGAGCAGACAGAAATTCCCTCCCAGGGCTGGGAACCATCCCAGCCGCCCCTCAGGGAGCGTTTGTCACATTCCCCCAAACCACGGGCCACGCCAGGGCTGTGGCACCGGGCAGCACCCATGGGGACCCCCTCCCACCGACCCCAGCCCGGGATGGCCTCGTTACCTTCCTCCTTGTCCGGGACTGCCTGGTGGGCCAGCGTGTACTTTGTTTTGGCTGTCACCAGGCGACCCACCCACCTGGGGAGGGAAAGGATGGACAGACAGGGGGATGAGGGTCCTGGCCAGCCCAGGGTGGCCAGTGCTGACCTTTGGTTCTGCTACTCACATGCTCAGGTCAGCCAAGGTTTCAGCAGCAAAGACAAAGGGCTTGTATGTCTGGTGGCACAGCTGGAACACGCTGAGGACAAGGCGGGGGGCTGCCTGTGCTGCTGTGGTGACACAGGGCCAGCCCCGAGCCCCCCTCCAGCCTCCCCATCCCAACCCAGCCCCAGTCCTCAGCCTCATCCCAGTTAACACCAGTGCCACAGTGCAGACCTTGCTCAGAGCGTGGGCACAGGTGCCAACCCTGTGGGGAGCTCAGCAGCCCCGTGGGGAGCTCAGCAGCCCCATGGAAACCCCAGCAGCCCTGTGGGGAGCTCAGCAGCCCCGTGGGGAGCTCAGCAGCCCCGTGGGGACCCCAGCAGCCCTGTAGGGAGCTCAGCAGCCCCGTGGGGAGCTCAGCAGCCCCGTGGGGAGCTCAGCAGCCCCGTGGGGAGCTCAGCAGCCCTGTGGGGACCTCAGCAGCCCCGTGGGGAGCTCAGCAGCCCCATGGAAACCCCAGCAGCCCCGTGGGGAGCTCAGCAGCCCTGTGGGGAGCTCAGCAGCCCCGTGGGGACCTCAGCAGCCCCATGGAAACCCCAGCAACCCCGTGGGGAGCTCAGCAGCCCCGTGGGGAGCTCAGCAGCCCCGTGGGGAGCTCAGCAGCCCCGTGGGGAGCTCAGCAGCCCCATGGGGACATGCAGTGGTTCCCAGCAGGACACATCAACGCGTGGTCTTGGGACGGCATCTCCCCCTCTTCCACCAGCAGCTGGGGGTGAAAGTGAGACAGACCCCACTCACTATTTCTTCTTCTGCTCCCTCGTGCTCTCCAGGCTGTAGGTGGCCACGTTGATGAGTCCTGCAGCCCTCTCATCCTGCGGGGTCGGGGACAGCCGTGTCGGGCAGCGGGACATGCCAGCTGCCAGGTGGGGATGGGGACAGCCCACTCACGTTGGGGTGGTGGTACCAGTAGAGCGTGTGGCCCTTGAGCACACACCAGCAGCGCTTCCACTTCTGGGCCATGAAGCCCACGTGGTCCTTCTTCTTCAGGAGCCACCCATCGCAGTCCACCCGGCCCAGGTCGCGGCATGAGACGCGCCGGCGGCTCAGCCTGGTCGCCACTCCTGCACCGCAGCCTCGGGGTGTCAGTCAGGGCAGGGGGCGCAGAGCCCCCCGGGACAGCCCCCAGCCCCGCTCAGCCCAGCCTGGCAGGGCTCTGCTCACCTTTTGGTCTGCGGCCCGTGCTCGGGCTGCCCTGGGCGGGGAGACAGGATGAGATTTTAGTGACAGTGCAGGGGGCAAGGTTTGCTGAGCCTCCCCAGCAGCACCACAGCCCTTAGGGACCCCTGTAGGGACCCCCAGTTCACACACCCACAGCAGGAACTCAGAGGGGAACCCCTGACACCCCCCAGCATGTCCCCCCACAGCTCTCACCTCTTCAGGGCTGGGCTCTGCTCCCCCAGCCCCCGTGGCGGGGGCTGCCCTGGGGCTCAGCTCTGTAGCACAGGGGTCAGTGGCAGCAGGGGTGCTCAGGGGGGTGCCCAGGGGGGTGTCCAGGGGGGTTCCCAGGGGGCTGCCACTGTCCCACACCTCTGCAGCACCTGTGAACAGCGAGCAGGGCTGCAGCCTCATACCCTGGGGAGAACTGCTCCATCCCTGGACACCCTCTGCTCCCATCCTACCCTGTCCAGACGGGCCCGGCAGCTCCTCCACAGCTGCCTGGGGCAGCCTCAGATCCTGCTCAGCCTCTTCCTGTTCTTCCTCAGTGCCGGGATCTGGGACAGAGTCTGGTCCCGAGTCCAAGTCGGCTGCAACGCTGGGGGGAAAACGGGACCCCTGAGCCCCAGAGCCCCCCGAGCGCTGCCGGTGTCCCTGATGCGCCTCGGGCTGGGGCACCCACGGCGCTCCCTGTCCCAGGAACGGCCTGGGGGGGACTCGGTGGCAGCTCCAGCTCAGCTCCACCGGCCTCCCCAGCTCGGCTGCTGCCCGCGCTGCCGCTGGCTCTCCGCACGCCTTTCCATTCCGGGAGGGGAGAAGGGTCATGTCTAAATATAGTTCCAGCCCCACTAAAACGTTACCAAGTGAATGAATTACAAACTCCCCTTTTTGTCATTCCTCAAGACTCCTGTCAGCTTCCCGGGCTGCTCGCAGGCAGCTGCTGCACTGCTGGCACCTCTTCCCCTAAAAAAGGCCTGGGGGCACCCAAATGTCTCCCTGCTGGCCAGACTGGGGGTGCTGGGTGTCGGGATGGGGCTCACCTCGAGGTCAGGGACACGGGGCTGCCTGGGCTCTCACCACTCCTGGTGCCAGGGGAATCTGCAGCATCCAACAATGCTCCTGGGGGCTGTGGATGGAGTGTCAGTGCCAGCCCCATCCCACCACGGACCCCAGAGCTTTAGGAATCTGCAGTGTGATGGGAGATGCCCAGCTCTGAGCATCCAGCCCGGTGCGGCACTGGGGCTGGACTGGGAGCACTGGGATCACTCACCTGCTGCCTGGGAGAGGGGGGTGTGCCAGGCAGGTTGAGGGGGATCTTCTTCAGTACCAAAGTCACCTCATTCCCCTTCTCCAGCAGCTTCCTCGCCAGGTTGACAGGAGTCCAGCCCACCTGCAAGTCCTGGGTGAGCTGTGGGCCACTGCCCTGGCCTCACAGATGCTTCATCCCCCAAACCCACCCCAGCCACAGATCCCACATCCCCCAAATCCTCCTGGCAATGTCTCCTGTATTCCCCAGACCCTTCCCAGCCACGGCTCCTGCTTTCTGCTGCCCATAACTCCTGCACCCCCCAGCTGAGCCCCAGTACTGCCTGTGCCCTCCCAGCCCGTGTCCTCCCTGCCAAACCCAGCAGCACCCTCGAGCCCCTGTCCCCGACTCACCACGACCTGCTCGTTGACCTGCACGATCTCATCTCCGGGCAGGATGTGGTCCCCGTGGGCAGCCAGGGCCTGGGCAGAGAGGGGGTGCAGTGGGGTGCCCAGCCCTGGGTTCTCTCCCTCCCTCCCTCCCAAGTTAATCCCACTCAGGATCTCTCTTGGCCAGGGAGAACCAGGGGGGTTAACCATTGACCCCGGAGCTGCTGCTGGGGTCGGGGTGCAGAGGGGCTCCCCCGTGCCCAGGCTGTGCTCACTGGTGGCATGAGTGGCACGGGCTCAGCCACAGGCAGCCCCCTCTGCTCTGGGTCGGGGGAGGGCAGATTAGGGCCCTAATGTGGAGCCCATGGATGGGGGGTGTTCCCCGCAGGGCATAAAAGGGGGTGACTGAGGGGCAGCCCCTCACTCACCTCTGGGGTGGTGGCAGACACGAAGTGCAGGCAGGAGCTGGTGGAGGTGATCTCAAAGCCCTGGGGGGGCCAAGATGGGGGTCTGAGCAGGGGGTCCCGAGGCAGAGGGGGCACTGGGGTGGAGGGGACTCACCAGTCGGGCGGTGAGGAGTGACTGGGGGCTCCCCACAAGATCAGAGGGTGCTGTTGGGGTGCCAGGGGATCCTGGGGGGCTGCTCCATTGGCTGGGGGGCAGCGTTGGCGTGTCAGGGGATGTTGGGGGGCTCTGCCGCAGGCCAAGGGGCAGCGTTGGGGTGCTGGGGGATATCGGGGGGCTGCCCTGTGGGACGGGGAGCAGCGCCAGCCCCACACGCTGCAGCACAGCCCTGCGGTCCAGCAGCGCCGGGGGGCTGCAGCCCACGATGCTCTCGCAGATGCCCACGATGTGCTGGCACTGCGGGTACAGCGGGGGTGAGGGGGGCCCCGGCAGCCCCCCGAGCCTGCCACCCCCTCCTCACCCAGCACTCACAATCTGCAGGATCCCGCTGCTCCTCTCGGCCGCAGGAAGGTCCTGGGGGACGGGATGTGGGGATGGGCACCATGGCGTGGCTCCATCCCAGCCGGGGGGTCCCGGTGGGGAACCCCTTGCACCCCATCTCGCCTCACCCCAATTTTTGCCCTGGGGGTCAGGAGAGCAGCCAGCCCCGGGCACTCACCGCCTGCAGCATCTCTGCCAGCTGGGCACACAGCAGGATGATGTCCCGGCTGGCCGAAAAGTCGTTGAGGGTGGAGAACAGGTACCTGGGGGGAAGACAGAGCTCAGCCCCCGGAGTGGGGGGCACCCAGCACCCAGGGGTGCCCTCACCTGCCCCAGACCTGTTGAGCCAGGAGAAGAGTTCCTTGGCAGCGCCAACCAGGTCGATGGCTCGGGCCAGGAGGGTGAGGGAAGGCGGCTGGGGGGCATCCCCTGCTGACAGCCCTGCCTGCACCAGGCTCTGGATGCTCTGTGCCAGCTCCTGCAGCCTCTCCGTCAGCGTCCGCAGGCTGGTGCTCGCCAGCCCTGTGTCCTGGGGAGAACAAGGGTGCCAGGGGATGGATGGGCGGGGTGGCCTTCAGGGTGCCACCTTCACCCAGCCCACGGTGCCCTCATGTCCTTCCCTGTGCCCAGCTCAGGGTCTCCTCAGAACCCCTCTCCAGGGTGAGTCCAAGGTGCCCCTGTGTCCCCACCTCCATCCAGAGCAAGTTGACCCCATCTGGCCCCTTCCACCCAGCCCCGGGTGATGCCACATGCTCGTCCTTCAGCCCAGGGGACCCCCATGTCCCCCTGCTCCTCCCCGGGACCCCGCAGCCCCCGGGCTGCCGGCACTCACCAGGTTCTGGAGCTGCTCCGCGGCCTCCAGCAGCAGCTCCTGGTGTCCCAAGGGCCGCACGCCCAGTGCCTCCAGGACCCCCGCGTCCAGCCCCAGCAGGTCAGGCCCCGCGAGCCCCCAGGCCTCGAAGGGGTACCCCTGCACCGCCTCGTCCAGCCCTGCCACGGATCAGTCCCCCTGGCAGTGTCCCCGCTGGCCGGGTGACCCCAGGGCTGACCCCTGGCTGATGGGAGGGTCCCCTCCATGCCACCAGCTCACCCGGCCTCTCCCTAAAGGGTGGGAATGGCCAGAGACCCCTTCCCCACCTGCCACCCAGGGAATGCCCCTCCCGGACAGGAGAAGAGGGACAGGAAGTGCTGCCACCTCCAGCCACACGTCCCCAAGCTGGGGACACCCCACCGCAGAGGCCGGGGACTCACCTCGGAGCCAGGCGGCCGCTTGCGCGGGGCCCCAGGAGCGCACGGGCTCCATGGCGGCGGCGGGGCCGGAGCGGCGGCGGGCGCGGCTGTTACCGGGGCCGGGCACGGCTCTCACCGGGGCCGGGCGCGGCTCTCACCTGCACCGGCAGCCGCAGCCCCATTGGCGCTCCCGGGTGCCGCTCAGCGCCGTGCCCGCCCCGCACGGCCCGGGACGGTGCCGTGGGGCGAGGCCGCGGTGAGTCACAGCCCGGACGGTGACACACGGCCGCTGGAACCCGGGAAATGACACCCGGTGTCACCCGCCAGCGAGGGCTGAGGCCCCACAGCACTTGTGACACCGGCGGGACACCCCCAGTTGCCCTGTGGGTGCGAAGTTAGACCCCCAGGAGAACACGAGGGAAGCCCCTGCTCAGCCCTGGAGTTTTTGGGGTGTCACCCCAACCCAAAGCATAACTCACACCCCTTTACAGGTGGGGAAACTGAGGCAGCCCTATACAGGCCTGCAGAGGAGCTGGCCCGCAGTTAAGCCCAGCCCTTCAGCCCCCCCAAATCCACCCTGGGCTGGCCCCGGCCCCCCCGCCCGGCGTGTCCGCTCCGGGGAGCAGCGGGCGCTGATCGCGGCTGACAGCCGCTGCTGCTCCGCGGCCGCCGCTGCTGCGCCCCGGCCCTGCCCGCGGGGCCACCGGGGGGCTCGGGGGGTCCCAGCCCCGCTGCTGCCGCCGCCCCACGGCCCCATCCCGCTGCTCCTCGTCTCGCCATGATCATCCGCCCCCGACGCCTGACCCCCGGCTACTTCCGTCTGCTGCAGGTAAGGGGCGAGCAGGGCCGGGGGAACCCCCGGGAGCCCCCCGGGAGCCCCCCGGGAGCCCCGGCATGCCGCTGCCTGCGCTGCCCACCAGGCCTGAGGGAGCCCTGCCCGTCTGCAGCCCCGCTCAACGTGGGGCTCCTCGCTGGCAGCCACGATGCTGCCCATGGGGGTCCATAAGTGCTGCATGGGGCACCCTAAAACCCCCCCTGAGATGCCCAGAGGGGCACGAAGCTGCCCCCGTTACCTTTACATCACCCAGTGTGATGGGGACATTCAGGGCATGGCCTCGGGCCCTTGTCCCCGTGGGGTTTGGGGTACTCCGTGCTCCCCTCTGCTCTCCGTGTCCCCACAGATGCAGCTGGCAGCGGGACGTGGGGCTGAGCCGGGGGGGCGGCTGCTGACCCCCCTGGCCCTGCTGCTGGCGGCCGCCGGGCTCTGCCTGTCCCTCTACAGCGCCCGGAGAATGGCCGACCCCGGCAAGGCCCCCCCGGAGCCGTGAGGAGCGGCCCGGGGGCGTGGGGATGGTCCCCGGGCCGTGTTGGGGTCCCCCGCCGCCCCCCGCCCGAGCGGAGCCGCTGCTGCCGCCACTCTCCGCAGCCGACCTGCGCCACACGCAGCCCTTCCACCGCCCTGGGGATGGGGACACGCCTGTCCCCGCCTGTCCCCGCGTGTCCCCGCCTGGGGCAGCCGCGGTGGAGAACGGAGAAGCCGCTTCCAGCTCCAGAGCTGCCGGGGGGACATCGGGACCCGACCACCAGAGCTGGACGGACAGAGGGACGGCAGAGCCGGGAGCTGCATCCATCCCCATCCCCCGCGGCAGCAGAGGGGCCTGGGAACCCCAACTGGGGGCCACAGAGCCCCCCATCCCCATGGGAACGTGCTGGGGAGGGAGGCCAGCGCCGTTAGGTAACGGGCAGGGGGGACACGGGCGGTGACGTGACCCAGCTCCCCCCCCTTCCCAGGCCCGGGGGGGACAAATCCGGGCAGGCTGCGTGGAAATAAACCCTTCCCTACCCAGCACAGCCGTGTCACTGCTCTGTCTGCCCTTCCCAGCGCCCAGCTTGGCAGGAGGGATGAACTGGGACACGCACTCCGCAGGAATTCGGTGGCATTGTCACTCAGTGTCCCCTTAGGGGCACCAACACCAGGCAGAGAGGCGATCTCGGTGCAGCGCCAGCCCTGCAGGAGCATGAAATCACTTGCAGGAGTTGGGCTGTTGGGGACAGGAGCCTCAAAGTGTCCTCGCCAAGGGGACACCAGCACTGCCCTCTCAAGGCCCAAACCAGCTGCGTGCTGCAAACCCAAGTGCCCGGTGAAGAGGTGAAGAGGCCGCTCGAGCTCACATTGCCCACAAAAAGCTGCCTGGGCACTCCCTGCCAGGAGGGCAGAGGGGCTTTTACCACCCTGACAGGCAAGAGCTCCAGGACGAGGCCCCTGGCATGGACACCTCTGGGTAACGGGGAAGAGAACAACACTGAGGTGTCCCCTCCCCCCCTGGGGGACTGTCACCCTCAAACTCAACGCTGCCACACTGTCAGTTGACATATTTTAATGGTGCATCACTGGAATAACCTCTGACCCAAGGACTGAGCAGAAACTGCTCCAAAAGCAGGCAGAGAAGCGTGCAGTCCCACCAGCACTCGAAGAACACACAAAGTGTCCCTTTCTGGAGGAGAAGGACACTCAGGGACAGCACCAGGCTCTTGCTGGCTCCTTCTCCTCGTCACTGCCCTGGCCAGGGGGGCTGTGGGAGGAGCAGGGCGGATTTGGCTGGCAGTGCTGGGACACGTTTTTCTCACAAAGCTGAGGACAAAGATGTCCTTACAGAGCCACTCAGCCTCTCAGTCCCCCCGTCCCCGCGCTCAGCCGGACGTCTCCATCTCGGTGACCTCCTCGAGGGGCTGGGTCTGCACCTCCACCTTCTTTGGGGGGACGTAGGAGCCCATCCCTGCAGCACGTTCAGCCTCCTCCTGCGTGTACGGAGCCTCCCGCAGCTGCTTCAGCCTGGGGGCACACAGGGGGTGAAGCTTCCACCTGCACCTCTGAGCAGAGCCTGCCCAGAACTGCCCCTCCCTCAGCCCGGGGAATTTGGGGTCTGCCCCCCACCTTACCTCTTCTTGTGCACCTTGGATCTGAAGTGCTCCTTCATGCTGTTCAGGTCCACGAAGTACCGCCTGGGGTAGGAAAGGATGGGGGGTCAGGGGGACCCCGAGACTGAAGGGGGGCTGGGGAGGGTCCTGCTGAGCGGCCAGGGTCCCACCACACCCCCCTGCACGGGCCTGGGGGCACCCTGAGACCAGGACAAGATACTCCCCCAAGGGTTAGAGCCCTGTGGCCAGGAGCCAGGGACTACCCTGGGATCAGGGCAGCCCCTCCCAGGGGACCGGGACCCCCGGGACCAGGGCAGCCCCTCCCAGGGGACCGGGACCCCCGGGACCAAGACAGCCCCTCCCAGGGGACCGGGACCCCCGGGAGCAGGACAGCCCCTCTCAGGGGACCGGGACCCCCGGGACCACGACAGCCCCTCCCAGGGGACCGGGACCCCCGGGACCAGGACAGCCCCTCTCAGGGGACCGGGACCCCCGGGACCAGGACAGCCCCTCTCAGGGGACCGGGACCCCCGGGACCAGGAAGATCCCATTCCACGAAGCTCAGGAACAACCCCGCCATCTCCCTGGGAACCAGGGAACCCCGGAGCAGGACAAGCCCATGCCCAGGTTGGAGCCGTCCCCCCGAGCCCCCGGGATACCCCCGGGATGCCCCCGGGATGCCCCGCCGCACGCACGCGCAGTGCAGGCAGTAGAACTGGGCGCAGCCCGGCAGGTCGGGGTCGATTTCCTGCCGCAGCAGCCGCGCGGCGTTCTCGGGCTTCAGGTCCGCGTGGATCTCGTCCAGGTCTCGCCGGCGCCGCTTGGTTTTCAGCTGCCGGGCGAGCGAGTGCGCCCGGTGCGCGCCGGTGCGCCGCCCGTTCCGCGGCGACATGGCGGCCGCACGCCGCGCCGCGCCGCACTGCGCAGGCGCGGGAGCCCCGGACCACGCCCACACCGCGGCGCGCCCCGCCCACTGCCACGCCCACCCGTTAAGCCACGCCCAGTCCCGGCAGGCCCCGCCCCCTCCCCGGTGTCCCCGGTCCCGGCACGGTCCGGGATGGTTCCGGCACGGTCCCGGCACTGTCCCCGCGCCCCCGCGGACCCCCAGTCCCCGGTTCCACCGTCCCCGCGTTCTCCCCGTGCTCCCCCGTGTCCCCGGCACGGTCCCGGGATGGTCCCGTCACGGTCCCGGCACGGTCCCGGGATGGTCCCGGCACGGTCCCGGCACGGTCCCGGGATGGTTCTGGCACGGTCCCGGCACGGTCCCGGGATGGTCCCGGCACGGTCCCGGGATGGTCCCGGCACGGTCCCGGCACGGCCCGGTCCCGGCACGGTCCGGGATGGTCCCGGCACGGTCCCGGGATGGTCCCAGCACGGTCCCAGGATGGTCCCGGCACGGCACGGCACGGTCCCGGCACGGTCCCGGCACGGTCCCGGCACGGTCCCGGGATAGTCCCGGCACGGTCCCGGGATGGTCCCGGCACGGTCCCGGGATGGTCCCGGCACGGTCCCCGCGCCCCCGCGGACCCCCAATCCCCGGTGCCACCGTCCCCGCGTTCCCCCCGTGCTCCCCCGTGTCCCCCGCGCTGCCCCGGTCACCGCTGGCAGGAGCGGGGCAGGGCTCAGCGTGTCCCGCCGTGTCCCGGCGCTGATCGTGTTTCGTCCGTGATCAATTATAGATGGGGACGCGCGGCGGGGGGAGCGCGGAGCTCCAGCGCCCGCTCTGCCCCGTGGGGGGGTGTCCCACCCGGGGGGTCCCGAGTGGGCGAGGAGCACCGAGGGGCTGCGGCGGGGGGCCCGGGATGGGTTTGGGGGGTGAGCGGAGGAGCCGCCCCCGCGCTGCCCCCGGCTCAGCGCGGGCTCAGATTCCTTTTGTGCGGTGCAAGCGGCCGCTGAAACTTTAATGAAGCCACCGGATCGCCGGGCCCGCCGCTCGGCTCGCCCCGCTGGCCGCGGCTGCCGCCGGCTCCGGTCCCACCGAGCCCCCCGCCATGGCCCAGAGCTTCTGGCGGCTCTCCAAAGCCAAAGTGCTGCAGAGCCTGGGGGGGCCGCGCCCGGACGGGACCCTGCAGGACGAGGTAGGCTGGGGGGTCCCCAAACCGGGCTGGCCGAGCTCCCCGCCCGCAGCGCGACCCTCACCGGGGGCTTCTTGCAGGGAGACCCCCCCGAGCTGATGGAGACATCCGAGTCCCCCGCGCTGCTGGAGGAGGGGGCCAGCCCCGTGTCCCAGCTGGCCCGCAAGGTGAGGAGGGGGCTGGCGGCAGCGGGGCCGGGGCACACCGGCAGCCGCAGCTCCCCGGTGACCCCGGCGCTGCCCCCGCAGGTGCAGGGGGTCGGTGCCCGCGGCTGGCGGACGCTCTCGTCCCTCTTCACCCGCGAGGACGAGCACCAGCTGCTCAGCCCGGAGCCCTGCCCGGACCAGTGAGTTACAGATCGCTGGTGGGGGATCCCAGAACCCGGATCCGACCCCCGGGAACTGCCGAGCCCCCACATCCCCCAGCCCATCCCTGCATCCCCTCCCCGGCTGCACCCGCGGGGCAGAGCCGACGGGGAGGGGGCGTGGTGGGCTTGGGGAGAGGGGCCCTGCACCGACCTTTCCGTCCCCTCTCCCTGCCCAGCCCTCTGGCCGCCGAGCCGCCCGAGGTGCCCCACAGCGAGAAGGCTCCTGGGTTTTGGGATCTCTTTGCTACCAAGTGGCAGCAGGCGTCGGGGCAGGACAAGGGGGTGCCGCCCCCCGAGCCGGACGAGAGCCCGGGGGAGCCTCCGGGTGACGACGGCAGCGACCTGCGGGAGCCAGAGGAAGGGGCCTTCCACTGGGGCTTCCTGGCTGGCAAACTGGCCGAAATCCGGAATAAAACCGCCCCCAAGGGCAACTAGAGGAGGATGCACCAGCCGGACTCGCCATTGCTCCCATTGCCCCGCCCGTGCCCAGGGCTCTGCCCTGGGTTTGGGTGTCACTTCAGCTGCACTGAAGACCCCGAAGGTTCCTTTTTTCCCTGAGCTCTGCCTTTCCCTGAGCTCTGCAGCTTTCCTTGCCCTCGCCCCCCCAACAGCCCCGCGGCCCCTGAAGCAGCACAACCCCAAGGGTGGGGAGGAGGAGCTGCCCCCCCAGCCCTGGGGCACCCCCCTCACAACCACACACACTGCCAGGCTAGGAAAATAACCCGAACAGATTTATTGAGGGCAGCTCTGGCCGCAGCAGCTCTTGTTCTGGGGAGGAGGGGGCTGTAGGGTGGGCATTGCCCCTGGCAGGGGGCTCGGGCTCTGCCCACCCCCAGCCAGCAGCTGGAGCAGGATTTGGGTGGTCAGCGGGGCTGTGGGGCCATCCCACCCTCCTGGGGACAGGGAGAAGATGGGGGACAGCAGGGGGACAGCAGCCTGCCAGCCCTGAGGCCATGGGGACTCACCGGGGGTGGCCCTTCCTCACCTGCCCCTCAGGTGCCCCCACCACACTCAGCCTGTGGACCTGCTGGCTCTCCCAGCCCGCAGCATCCCCGGGTGGGTGCCACCCGAGCCGCGGGTGCCACCAGCCCGTGGGCCACATCCCGCGGGTGTCCCGGTGCGGACCGGACCGGACCGGGCCCGCTCACACCGTGGACTCCTTGGCGGCCGCCCAGGCTCTCTGGCAGCCGTAGAGCCACTTGATGACGCGGGCGTTGCGCTCCACCACCGAGACGGCGGAGCCCGGCCGGGGCTCCGGCTCCTCCTCGCCCGGCCCCGCGTCCCCCCGGCTGCCCCCCGAGGCCCGCCCGGGCTCGGACTCGCAGGAGCCGGGCCGTGCCGAGCCGGTGTCCCAGCCCGCCGGCCCGAAGCGCTCCCGGCCCAGCAGCTCCACCAGCGCCCGGTCCAGCCCGCAGTAGTTGAAGAACCGCTCCTGCTCCGAGAGCGGCAGCGACACGCGCAGAGCCAGCGGCTCCTTCCCGGGGGCACCGGGGGGCTGCTCCGTGGGCACCGAGGGGAAGATGCCACCGCTGTCACCGCCGCTGGCCCCTCCCGGTGTCCGCGCCTCCTCCTTGTCGGCAGGCGCCCACAGCATGGGGGTCTCGGGGCTCCGGGGGGCTCCCTCGCCCGGCGGGCTGGCTGGGGGCGAGCCGGGCGGTCTGAGGGGTCCCTGGAAGAGGCGCCGCACCAGCCCGGAGCCTTTGGTGTTCTCCTTGTCCCCGGCCAGGCAGTCCCGTTTCTGGCGGTAGATGATGAGCGAGTCCGGTCGGAGCAGGCGCCTGCTGCCGCTGCGGCGCGCCACGGGGGACTGGGGGCACGGCAGCTTGCGGGGCCCGTCCCGGCCGAGCTCCGCCGCCGGGCACAGCTCCCCGCACGGTTGCCGGGCCAGCAGCCGCCGGCCGTGCGGAGACAACCGGGGCGAGCCCCGCAGCGCCGGCTCCTGCCGCCGGCTGATCACCTGCTGCGACTTGACGTACTTGGCCTTGTCGGCCTCCAGGCGCTCCACGGCGCTGGCCCGGCGGCCCCCGCTGCCCCCCGGGCCCTGCGGGCACTCGGGGCTCCGGTTCAGCCAGGCCAGCGGCGAGCCGCGGCCCGGGGCCACGAGGCGCAGGTTGCCGGAGGCGCAGACGGCGAGAGCGGGGCTGCCCAAGGGCACCATGGCCCCGGAACGGCGCTGCCGATCCCCCCGCGCCCCTCGGAGCGGCGGGGCTGGGGAGGCTCCCGGAGCTTCGCTCGGCTCCTGCGTTCAGCCCTGGAGGAGAGAGGAGAGTCAGGGTCAGCCCCGAGGGGAGGAGGAGGAGGAGGATGGGGCCGAAGCAGAGCTGAGGGTCCCCTCAGCGAGTCCGGGCAGCCCGGGCAGGAGCAGCCCCTGGGCAGGAAGGGAGACGCGCCGAGCATCCGCCGGCTTCGTCCGCATCCCAGGAGCGGCTTCCAACCGGAAAAAATAGCGGAGCCGGCCGCCGCCTCGGCTTCCCGAGCGGCAGAACAAAGCCGAGCTCAGGGGCTGGAGAGCTGCCCCGAGTGCTCGGGGGTCCCCGAGCCGTGCCCCGCACAGCCCGGCTGGGCCGGCAGGGGAGATTCTCCCCTTCTCCGTGTGCGGAGGGCACGGAACCGGCTCTGGGTGACAGCAGGGACACGGGGCCGGGCAGAGCAGAGATCCCGGGAGCAAACAGCCCAGGAAGCCTCTGCCACGCAGCTCCACACGCAGCCCACGGACTCCACACGCGGGGAAACTAAGGCACACGTTGTCTGGCTCTGTGCACCCGTGCCGCGGGGCCCTCACCCTCCCCAGCCCAGCCCCGCGACCAGGACCTGTGCCAGGACCTGTGCCAGGACCTGTGCCAGGCAGGTGGGGGATGCTCTCGCTCACCTGAGCCCACGCAGGGGTGCAGGGATGGGATGCAGGGATGGGATGCAGGGATGGGATGCTCCAGTCTCACGCAGCTCCTGCCCCTCTGGCTGCCGCGGCAAACTGAGCCCAGAGCCGGGAGCAGCCTCATATAGAGGATGAGGAAGAGGAAGAGCCACCCATTAACCCCTGCCAGCCCAGCCCCGCGGCAGGAGCCCACGCCGGGACCTGCCCTCGCAGCCCTGGCCAGCATTAGCCCCTCTCCTCTGGCAGCTCCTCTCCTCCCTCCGCTTCCTTAGGGGAGCCCGGCGGCCTTTCGGGAGCTGCCGCAGCGATTTTTGCCTCCGAACCTCCGTCCCCCTGCACAGGGCGGGGCAGGAATGGGGCAGGGAAGCCGTGTCCACTCCAGCAGCTTCTCCTTCTACGCCCACCCCAGGGTGTGAGGACAGCTCAGGAGCAGGAGCCCACCACAATCCCCCCAGGATCCCACCCGGGCAGGAAGGAAGGAGGAAAAGTCCTTCTGGCACCTTCTCCGGTGGCGGTGAAAGGGTCAAAGCCGGCCGGTTCCTGCCTCTTCCCCCGGGGAAGGGCTGTAAATCGCAGGAAGCCACAATGGGCTGGAGCTGGCCCAGGGGTTATTTTTACCGCTGCCCTCTTCCCTTCCCCAGGGCCGAGCGCTCCCACTGGGACAATCCCGGCCCCTCCATCCCCAGCTCCAGCCCGGGGGGCTGCGAACGTGGCACTGGAGCAGAGGGGGAAGGAGAGAAGGAGCTGCTGCCCCCCAGGCTGGGCTCGCAGACCCTCGGAGGGGCCAGAGAAAGCCCCCAGAGCCCCCAGGGAGCCCCCAGGGAGCCCCCAGCCCCCTGCGCCCCTCTGCAGCCGGTCTGGATGGAGAGCTGGGCACAGCCGGGCTGATGGCAGGGACTGAGGGGGCTCCAGTGGGGACAAAGCCCCGGGATGAGGGGGGACCTGTCCCCAAGCACTCTGTCCCCACCCCAGTTCCTTCCTGAGGAGCTGCTCTGGAGCCAGTGCCGGGAACGGGCCTGGGGCTGTGCCCAGCACCTTCCCGGCCGATGGCAGCGGGGCAGGAAGGGGCTGGGGCCGGGACTCCTGTGCTGACGAAAACGGGGCCTAAAGTGGAACCTGGGCAGGGTGACAGGAGCCAGATCCTGTCTGAGCTCTGCAGGCCCTGGAAAAACTCCCAGTGGCAGCAAGGAAGGGACAGACCACCTCTCTAACCAATCTGGAGAGGAGCAAAGCAGGTAACACCAGCAGGATGTGGCTGCACTGGAGCAAATCTGGTGAGGACAGGGAAGAGGATCAGGACAAGTGATGGAGAGAGCCTCGGCAGCTCTGGGATCTGCCCCTGGGTTCCCCCTCGGGAAAGGCAAATGCCCAGGGAGCTGGGGAGGAGCCAGAGAGGCTCGGGCTTCCCTCGGGAGAGGGCAGGGGTGGGAAGCTTGTTGGACGGGTTTAGGAATCTGCAGGGTTCAAAGGGGCAGGAATGAATCTGAAGGCAGCACCTGATCCGAGGCAGCACCCGCGTGTCGGTGCAGGTCGGAACCGGAGCGCTCCCGGGGATGCTGCAGCCCCAAAAGGCTCCAAAGGCAGGGCAGGCCAGGGCTGGGCAGGGCTGGGAGCACAGGGACAGCCAGCAGGGACAGGGACAGAAGGGGAGCCAGCCCAGGGTCAGCATGGAGGCTGCAAAGCTTTGTGGGTTTGTAGGCTGCATCTGGTTCCATCCCAAACCTGAGTGTAAAGGAGCCTCTGGAACGAACAAGAACAGCCCAGGCTGGGCTCCTCTTCCAGCAGTGGTCACTTGACACCTCTCTGCTCCTAAAAATGGGTTTCACATTCCCCCAAACCCTTCCAGAGCTCCCGAACAGCACCTGCAGCAGCTCAGGCCGGCATTCCCACCCACCCGTGTCCCTCAGGTGCTTTGTGCCATTCCAGGCACGTCCCTGTGCCTTTACTGGGCTGCAGCACAGAAACTGCAGCACAGAAACTGCCCTCGGCAGGCTGGGAAGGGGAACTGAGCACCCCTGGCAGCAGCACCCACTGAAATTGGTGTTTAAATGCCCAGACTGGCTCTCCCTGGCCAGTCCCTCCATCCCCAAAGCAGCGATGTCCACAGGGAAAAGCCCCACAAAGCCCAAAGGAGGGGAGCAGCTCCTTCCCTGCACCTTCCCAGGGCTGGGATGGGGTTGGGGTTCTCCCTCCCTCCCTCCCAAAGCTCTGCTTGAAGCAAAACAAACCAAAAACACCACCAGGGCGAGTTCCCAGCCCTGGGAACGCGGGTGGGCAGGCTGGAGCACGAACCAGCCCAGATGGGCTTTAATTAAATCTCATTTCTGCACCAGGGCATTTCCCCGCCCTCCCTAAGGGCTAAATATATTTGAAGTACAGTATATATATATATTATATATATGTGTGTGTGTATATATATACATATCAGGTTTACTTCTCTTCATTTTGTGGGGAAGGAATTCAGCTCATGTCTGTATTTAAAATCACCGCTCTTAGAACTAATCCAAAAGTGGGACTTTCTCCTTTCCTAAAGGTCTTTATCTGCTCTAAAAAAAATAATCTAAATCCAAACTGCAAAGCTCCTGCCGGGTGGGCACGTGCCCATTCCAGGTGGGAATCTGCCCTTCCATAGGCGCAGGCACAGGGGAGAGGGTTGGGCTCAGCTTTGTTGTGTGGGCGTAGGAAATTCCAAGAGAAACTCAACTTACAGCAGTGCCCTGTGTCCAGAGCACTGCTAATTAAAACATGCAAATGAGGGCCACACTTTCCTGTCATGGATTAGTAATGATGTTTCCTCACCTTCACTCCCAAGGTTTCTCAGGGCATGCTGTCCCTGGAGGGCAGCACTGACTGAAAGCACTTCCCCATTAAAAAATCCTAAAACTTCATTCCAAATTCAAGATTTTATTTGAAAAACAGTCATGAACTTAATAAATTACACAATAATTTTCCTCATTATAAATTCTCCATAAAATATATTTTACAGTTTTTAAAGAAAAACACGAAACAAAAAAAAATCTTTCCCAAGTGCTGAAAAGTGTCTTGACTTCGTGTCACGCTGGTGAACGACCCCGCAGCTGCTACAACAACTTGATTTATTTTCTCCAAACAAAGACCTCAGACAACAAAAACCAAAGAGAACACAGAGCTCGAGGACTACCAGTGTCACCCAACAGCGAGGAGAAGCACCATGAGAGGGATTTCAGGTACCCCCAACCTATAAAGTGGCAATCAGTGCAAAGAAACACTTTGGGAGTCAAAAACCCCGAAACTTCCCAGTGCCAGTCCCTGATTTCTGATTTCCTCTGCAGAGGGGAGCAGGTGATGCACAGACACCTCAGAGGGGAGCAGTGTTACTCTGGCTGGGTAAGGGAGGGGGACGCTCACCCCTTTTTTTTATCCCAAGTTTAAGATGAATTATAAACCCCCTCCGAATTTTTCTCAGCCAGTGACCCTGCTGAGATGTGAGAACTGGGAGGCAGAGTTAGCACAAGCAAAGTGTGTTTGTCTGAGGATCACTCCCGAAAACGATGAAGTGAAGGAAACAACAAGAATTATAAACTAAGGCCAGCTGGGGACAGCCACCAGCTCACACAGCACCAGGTAAGAACCACCTGCGGCCTGTAAAGCCTCAGAAGTTGGGTGGAATCAGAATCCTTTGCTTTTGGAAAACCAAAAAGTAACATTTTGTTTACTTGCACTCAAAGAATAAACACTGAGTGCCCAGAACTGCTGTCTAAGCACTAAGAGGGAACAGTATTCAAAAAAGCAAATTGTACAAGGAAATACTTACAGCCATTTCCAGTGGGGGAAAAAAATTAAATTGAATTTTGTAAAGACAACTAGCCTTTCCTGCAGCTTTAAAGGCAATTTTAAAAGTCTGGTTTTTTTTCCAAAAGGTCAAACTGGATGGGAGAGGTCAGTCCTGCACCCAAAGAACAAAGTGTTGTGCTGGGACAAACAGCAGTGTCAGGTGGCCTCAGTGAAACCTGTCCCAGCCTCAATCTGCTCTGTGCAGACAGAGCTGGGGATAAGCAGCTTCCAGCTGCTCCAAACCCCTCCTCCCATCTGTGCTTGTAAATAAAGATCACTTCTTTAAAAGGAGAAAAATTAAAAAAAAAACCAAACCAACAAACCCACCACAGGCTGCCACCTTTCCCACAGCTGTCACTGAGCTCTGACACCAGCTGTGAGCCAGGGGACAGAGCCACCCCCGTCCCCTCATCACCACTGGGTTTGGGGCAGTGCCCCAATAATTCCAGGACTGCTGGAATTATTGGCTGGATTCAGCTCAGGAAAACTGTGCTGCCACCGTGTTTTGAAGGATTTTAACAATATACTGCTGGATTCCCTCATCCATGTTTCCATAAACTGAGGGCACAGAACTCTGCTGTGATAAATCCTCAAGGTGCTATGGGATTATGGCCAGAGAGTGTGTTGAGAAAAGGCAGATTAATTGAAGAATAAAAGCAAAATCAAAGGATCAATGACCCAGCCCCCCTGCCAGCACCTGACTGTACATTTCTAATTTGACTCCCTCAGTGATGAGCTCATTAAGCTCTAAGTGCCAAGATCAGCCATGTTAGCACTTTGAAAGCAGCTGATCCCCTTGCATTGCTTTTTTTGTTTGTTTGTTTACAAAGTCAAGTCTTTGAAATTAGATAACAAAAATAAATAATAAAGTCATTCAGCCTGGGGAAGGAGGAGTTTTTCTCACTCACCTCCTTCACCCAGGTTTCTAGCAGACCCCAATCATCCAGACCCACAGCAAATAATTTAAGTGCCACACACTCCCAGTCACTCATATACATAAATATATACACAGATTACATTACAAAGCCTCAAGATTTGCACTGCCAGCATGCAAATCTTTTTTTCTTTTCCATGAGAGCTCCTAATACTGACATAGGAAACTGGAATGTGTGAGACACTCCGTGACAGAGTGCTGGAAATCAAGTAGTGTTGGCTCTTGCGACATCCCCCTGCCAGTGCACCCCAAGGAGCAGCTCTGGGATTTCACACCGCGGCCAACTCGGCGTTCCTGCCGGGAATCTCCAGCCGGGAATCTCCAGGTAGGTGCAGTTCCCCCGCCGGGCTCACCCCTCACGTGTCCCAGCTGCTGTCCTTGAAGGCGATGTTGACCAGCCTCAGCTCCAGCTCGAAGGCGTCGGGCCGGTCCTGCGGGTTGGCCGCCAGCATCTCCTTGATCAGCTGCTTCATGCGGGCGTTCATGGACTTCTTCTTCACGGGGATCAGCAGCTCCATCTTGGGGTTCTCCAGCAGCGCCTCGCCCACGGGCACGATGGCCGTGCCCTGCTTGACGTAGCTGCCCAGCAGCTCCTTCTTGGTCTCGGTGTCGACGAAGGTGATCCTCTCCAGCATGGCCCAGATGATGATGCCCAGGGCGAAGATGTCGGCCTTGGCCGTGTAGTGGCCCTCCCACACCTCGGGGGCCATGTAGAAGTCGGTGCCGCAGGCGGTGGACAGGAAGCACTTGTTGACGCTGACCGGCTCCTCGGGGTTGTGCCCCGAGGCCGAGC